CAGATACGCCGGCAGCGTGTGAGACACTCCCACCTAAAAATCCAAAGCCTCGTTCTGTGACATTTTGGCCTTTACAAATTATCATGGCAAAGAGAAAGTTCTTATGACTAGGAAAAACAAGTGGGTTTTTTTTTTTAATTTATTTAAACGAAAACAATTTTAGTACACAACTTGCAAGTGCCTAAGAATATTGAGGTCGGACACAGTTTGAGAAGCACTCCACCATGTTTGGGACTGCAGCAAAGCCATCTGCCGGTCTTTGTCCTGTTGACTTAGCAGAGGTCGCGCTGCTAAACGTGTGTGGCGGGGTTATGGACAGACCAGTTATCTCTGAGGCTGGTTCATCTGGAGATCCAGGCCTCCCTTAGGCCTCAGACCTACTTCCTGGAAACTTCGTAGGTCAAAGAGCCGCTGAAGAACGGTACTGTGGTCCGTTCGGTGCATTTTTCAAGAAGCCGAGCAAGGGCTCAGGACCACAGAGACGCGTGTGAACCCTCCCTTCCTGGTTTGGGGCCGGGATCGGCCTGTGCCTCCTGAGAATCTCGGTGCCCACTCCCGGGGTGCACAGGGATTACATGGAGCATGTTGACCTGCACCCCCTCAGTTCCTGGCACCAAGTCGGCATCCGACATTAGTCCTCTTCCTACATTTGCTCACCCTGCACTAGAAGAAAACGGAGCTGCCTGTGGCCTGTCCATCTGGCCCTGGCCCAACTTCCAGTAGCTTCTGCTGCCAGTGAGAAATCGTCCGCGGTCTCCCAGGGAACTTCTGCAGACCAGCGGGAAGACCCTCTCCCTCCTCCACGCCACGAGGCGTTCCCAGCTGGCGTGGCCTCCAGCCACCTTACTCACACACACACTCCCGGACGCCGGACGGTCTTCAGGGTCAAGATGAAGTCGCTTGCTCATTATAATCATCATGAGAGCTAACATTTTTTACAAGCCTGTGCTTGCATCGCCACTGACTCTGGAGCCTAAGCCCTCGGGGCTCTGAGGGCACTGGACAGAGCAGGCTTGGAGCCTCGGGAACTGGGTTCGTGTCCCAGCTCTGCTGCTCATTGGGAGGCCGGGGACAAGGCCCCTGGCATCCCTGGGCTGTACCTCCCACCATGCAATGGCCTGTGCCAGGCCCTCTGAGGACAGTCGGTGATTCATGGCCAGTGTAACTGTTGCCATTATTTTATTCCAGAGACCTAACTGACGTCCTCTCTGGAATTTGTTTTTCAGACTTCTTGCAAGGAGGCCTCCAGAGGTGTTAACAGGACATCCTGAGGGGCTTCTGCTGGGCTTCACCCTCAGCCGCGGGTTTTTGGCTCCTTTACCTGAGCCCTCACCAGGTCCTGAGCTTTCACCACGCACTTCAGCCCAGCCTCTCCCCCAGCCTGGGACCAGTAGCCACGTTCCCTTCACGGTTTTCCCAGCCCGTGGCAGTTGGGTGGTTTCTGAGCCATAGGGAGACTCAGAGACTTGGGTAGACCAGGATGGGATCTGTGTCATTTTCCAGACCCTCCACCAAGAAAGCCAGACAGCACCCAGTGATGGCAGGAAAAACGCCACTGAAGATGTGACCTGCTGCTCTGACCGCAAAGAAGCCTGCAGGGGATATCAAAACCTGAGCTTCCCAAACATCCACACGCCCACGAGGCACCAGGGAGATCCTGATTCAGCAGGTCTGGGGGCGCCCAGGGTCCTGCATTCCTGACTCAGGAGTCCGCCACAGCCTGGCATTAAGGCAGGTGGGGTAAGACCCTGAACTTGGCATCAAAAACTGGTTTGCATCAGCTGAGTGACTCTGGACAAGTTTCCAACTCCCTGAACCTTCTTTCCTCATCAGTAAAATCGCCTCCAATACTAGTAACCCTCCTGATGACCTCACAGACAGCTCGGGGTGGTGGGGTCACACAGACCCCGGCGCCAAGCCCAGCCCCGCCTCTCACCGGCTGCAGGAGCTCCGACCACCTCTCCCAGCCTTGCTGTCACCCGAAAAACGGGCCTGAGTCATACCCTAAAATGCGTCTTCATGGTAATGGGACAAGTAGTGCTTCTGAGTCAAAAGAGGGGTCATCTGTGTTTAGGGAGAAGGGGGCCATAGAGGATGCGTTCCTTCATCTTCACCTGGAAAGAGGGTTTGCCCTTTGGAGACAGGAAGGGAGGCATTTGGGACAGAGGAAGCAGCCAGACCAAAGGGGAGGTGGTGAGCAGTGGGAGTCACATCCCATCTCACTGAGGGCAGGAATGGGGGCGTCCTACCACAACCAGTGGTTGTCCCCTGGACCTTCGCCACGAGCAAAGCACTGCGCTTGGCCTTCTGCACAAGTTCTTCACGTTCTCCACCCTGGGACCCAGGCACCAGAGTAGAACCAGTCCATTTCGGCGGATGAGGATGTGGAGGTTCAGAGAGGTGGATTCACCTACACGAGACCACACAGCTAGAAAGCACCAGAGGTAGGATTCGGCCCTGGGTCCCTGTGATGACAGAGCCCCCTTCAACCTCCACTAGCTTTGCTGCTGCAGGGAATAATCTGTGCTGGACACCCCGTGCAGTGGGGAGTGCTAGTGTGGGAGAGCTGGGGAGGGTTAGAAGTCGTTGGGTGCAAGCAGAGACCGAGGGGGTTGTGAGAGAGGGGTCCCCAAGGGGGAGTAGGGGAGCCTAAAGTTGAAGGCAAAGAGAGAGGGGGGAGGGGTGGCACCTGACAGTGACGCTTTGTCCTCTTGATACATTGCGTGCTCTGGGCACCTGTACCAAACATCAGGCTCTGTGACCCTCTCCCCAGCCTGCTTGTGTCCCACCCAGGGACTCTGTGCCGGGAAGGGAGTGTCACCTGTGTGGGGCAGTGAGGGTCTGCCCTGCAGCCCGGGTGGCCTTGTCACCATCACAGATGATGCCCGTTGGACCCGGCAGTTGGCGGGTGTCCCAGCCAGGAGCCAGCCCGGGGAAGCCAGATTGCCTGGGAGTTCGGGTTTGCCTCTGTTCATCCGAAAATAGACAACACAGGCTGCGCCAGGTGCTGGAGGCACAGCCAGGAAGAATGGGGACACCTCCCTGCCCTACAGCGCTCACTGTGAGGCTGGCGGAAGAGGTATAACTAATCCAAGAGAGGTGCCTGAGCACATACTGTGATCACGCCCCCTAGAGCCACCCTGTTAGGATGCCCGCTTCACAGCCAGGCAAACTGAGATTTGGAGACAGCAAGACCCTTGTCCAAGGCCCTAGAGTCTGTCAGTGGCAAAGCCAAGATTCGAACCCTGGTTTGCCATGCACTCCAAAGCCCTGACCAAAGTTGGAGCAGTCAAAAGAGGAGCGGGGGAGCCTTCTGGACGATGGGATCAAGATTGAGCAAAGTCCCAGCAGCTGTTCTGTCTCTTTCTGCATCTGGTGCTCACCCCTGTGCCATCTCCCCTTGAGGGGACTGCTGGAAACAGAATTGCACCCACTTTGCAGGTAAGGCCCTATAACATTTTTTAAGGACTTGCTGAGGATCCCAGAGCTCTCGTCTCCCTGAGTCCTGGCAAAACTGGGAGAGGTGACAATCTCCGGAACAGCACCATTCCCAGCTACAGAGGTAAAAGTCAGAGCTGGATTGGATTGAGGGTGTACCTGAGCAAAAGGGGACCCGCTCTGCTGTTAGCCTTGCCTCTACCTCCCCCATCAAAGCTCCCCAGGCAGAGGCAGGCTGCAGGAGTTTCAGGACCCTCCCCCACCACTTCCTTAGCTCCTCATTCCTATCCCAACAAGCGGAACCCTTCTCCTCACCAGGTGAGCCAGAGACCCAAGGAGGACAAGGTCAATGCCCAGAGCGCCTCCTTCGTGCATCTAGGACCACGATCCATTTGGGATGGTGGTGTCTTCTCTAAGAAGGCCTTGCCCCTCAGCCCTCAAACCATGTTAATAATGACGGTGAACTTGCCACTGCTTCCACAGCAATGGCCAGAGTTCCTTGGTCTTCCTTCTGGGCTGGCTGTAGCAGTGGCCCCTGGTGGACAAGCTGGGTGGCTTGTCCTGGCAGGTTCACACTGTGAAGCCATCGAGAACAGTTTCCATCAGCTGGGGTTCTGCCTTATGGAGACCGAGAAGGGATTTATTGGCAGGTTTCAAGGATGGGAGAACCAGAGCTGAGCCAGAGCGGGAGCCAGGGCCGTTCAGGGTTTTAGAGAGCAGACGGCGGCAGAGCCTCTTCGGGACTCGGCAGGAAGGGCTCAGCCCCAGCCAGGAACCCATCCTCGTTCCAATCATGCCAATCTTCAGGGAAAGTGCAGGGAAAGAGAAAAGACTGAGCAAGGCTCTGATGTCTTGCATTTATCCGTTCAGTAAATGTTGGGCACCTGCTGTGTGCCAAGCACTAACTAAGCACTAGGGTACAGTCGACTTTGGGAGAGCCAGACACTAACAGGAAACCCATAAGATCATTTCTGATGTGTTGAAAACAAGAGACACCCCCCCCATGGAGATTGTATCCCATTGGGAAAAGTAAATCCCCCAGAGGGAATTGAGGCATGACTATGAAGAGAAGAGGAACTGGATGAGGGGGTCCCCAAATATAGATATCCACAAGAGGGTTCCTGCCATTTTTAAGACTTCGAAAGCCTGTTCTGGTGCCCAGGGTGGTGGCAAGGATTTGGGTTCTGGAAGTAGATTAGACTTCATATCTGGTCCCGGCTACTTCCTTACGTGACCTGGGGCAAGTCACCTAACCTTTGCAAGCCTGCAAAATGAGGTTGATAATTCTTCCCACGTAGGGTTGCTGTCAGGTTACGTGAGGTCAGACATGCCCCACACCTGGCATATAATGAGCACTCGATTTACTTCCCAAATACTTGATCACGTCCTGGGTGTGGGGTGTGGGGATGCATGCGTGCAAGGTGGGTCACCAAGCCTGGTCCTTGAGGTTGGGGGCTATGCCTGTTGACCCTCCAGCATATTCCATTACAGCTTTATTCTTTTCAGTTAGATTGTTGAGTTTAGATTTTTCTTCTTTTTTAGATTTTTTTTTCCACTATTCTCTACACCCAATGTGGGTTGTCAACTCACAACCCCAAGATCAAGAGTCGCGTGCTCTACCAACGGAGACAGCCAGGCGCCTTGCCATTACAGATTTAATATCATTCCTGCCTGCCTTCTTCTAGATAAGATTTACTAAGGTACCTAACTACAGAACTGCCCTTTCTTCCTTGAACCACCCCTCAAAACTCCCAACACACGCTGAAGAAATCCTCCTCCTGAAACACCCCACATTTCCCCAGGGTGTGTGTGCTCTCTTGTTGCAACAAGACCATCTGACGTTGTTCAACTACAGGTGCGCTCTTCGGGGTCTTCAGTGGGAGGGCGCTGCAAACCATAAACAAAAATGTCCCCCGAAACAAACTGTTTGCCTCCCCTGAATGCAGCACCGCAGGAAGGGGAGCTGGATCTGGTGCCAAGCACAGCAGGAAGCAACCCCACAGGGAACCGAGAGAAGAAACAGCCAAAGGGATGTAGCTTCTAGGACACCTGCCTGCTGACAGGAGCGGGCGGGGGAGGGACGATTGTGGCAGAGGCTGGGGGTTGGCTGGGAGATGGGAGGTGTCACACTATTTCTCATTGGTCTTAATCTTAACTTTGCATGCTCTAATGTGAAATGTAATTACAGATTCTGAATTATGGTGGCGAGCTCATCAGGGCTGACTCATCAATTAGATTTATACGCATGTGCTCCTCGGAGATCTATGACCCTGATGTGTCACCTGGAAGCTCTGAGAAATCTGTCCTGCCCGTTCGCTGTCTTGGGGAACCGTGGGGTCAAGAGAGCCATTTTGAGGGCCAGCTGGGAAGGACAGTGTGACCACTATCAGGAAGCCTGGAGACCATACATGCCTCTGAAGTCCCCAGTCTTTGAAATCTGTGAGGGCCTTGGCCTAGGAATTCAGAGATGTCAAATACACATCGGAAACCGTGCGAGGCATCACTAATGGATTACCAGCACCTTCTGCTGCATGGGGACCCAGCCTCGAGCTCCTTAACACAGCCTTCCAGGCAGCCCCTACCAATCACCGTGCATTGGCACTTCTTTCCCACCCCTGGGATCAGCCCGTCCACTGTCCCCGCAGAAACATAATCGGGAAAGGAAGCTGAGTTTTGACGCAGAAGCCCCAGGTTGAGTGCTGGTTTTGCCACTTGCTGACTGTGGCGCATTGGACTCATCACGCTACCCGCTGGGGTGCCACTTTGCCCAGGTGAAGGTAGGGTGGTAATCCACGGTGAAAATCCACATAAGGTAATCAGTGGGAATGTCCTTTGTCTAAATCAAGCCCCATACAAGTTACAGATGCAGCAACCAACAGAGGAGAAAGAAGGATGAAAAGCGGGTGTGATTACCCTCCGGGGGCAATCCTCAGTGGGGCTGTGATCAGCTTTCTTCCCTCCTCTGTTGCCCTACAACGGAAGCCAAGCATCCACATTCAGACCGCACGGGAGCTGCGCTCCAGGCAGCCAGCCGGCTCCGACAGAACGACCAGGCACACACTCTCCAAGGCTTCTAGACTTTGGGCGGGCCCCGTGGCTTTGGCTACCAGAGGGCAGCCGCCTCTCACTCCAAACATCCCAAGAGAGGTAGATGATTTATGACAGGCATGGCAAGCAATTGTCAGCTTCTTCTCTCTTCTGCACTTAGGTTTATTACACAAGTGAGTCTCTGTCAAATCCAACCCAAATACATTGTTAAAGAAAAGGTTGGAAAACCCAGACAAACAAAAATGAAAGTGAAAACCACCCACAGTCCCATGATTTGGAGGCATTATTAACACATGGAACAGATCCTTGCCTATTTCTTTCCTGTGATGTATATCCACACACCTATTTCTTTTTCCGGAATTAGGTCATTCTGTACTATACCATTGGATAACTGGGGTTTGGTTTGGTTTCGTTTTTTTCCACTTAAAAGATGGATGCCTTTCCATAGTAATAAATAGACACCGTCCATTTCAGTAGTTTTGTGCTTCTTAGAGCCCCTTATCGTTCAGTATTTTCCTTATTTGACAATTAGCTCCCTATTGTTGGACACAGCATCCAGTTTTTCACTGTAATGAGCAGCTCTGCCGTGAAAAAAAATCCTGCTGGCTTCACCGATGTATCTTTCCTTTGGAGCAATTCTCGGACACAGAATCGCCAGTCCATAAGGACGCACATTTCCAGGCCTTTCGTATATGTTGCCAAATTGCCCTCCCGCAAGGTTGTCCCTAGCTCCGATCCCCCCAGCAGTGGAGAGTCCACGTTTCTCTCTCCCCGCTTAAGCCTGCAGGTGGAGAGCCACAGGCTCAGAACTCTATCCAGCTGCCGGGTCCTGTGGCCGGACCCCTGAGGGTCCTCAGAATCAAGTTCTTCCTCTCCCACTGGGCAACGCGAAGTTGGCCCAGGAGAGTCCGTGGCCAGGAGGGGGCAGGGTCCTGGTGCCACCTGGAGTGGCCACCCACAGACCCCGACCCCCTTCCTTTCTACCTACACGCCCCGATGCCTTTTCTCGAGGTGGGCTGCCCACACCTTGTGACGGGACAGTGAGCTTTTGAGCTATCATCAACCTTATTTTCCTCTACAGCTCCTACGGAGTTAACAGATGTACGCACGTCTGAGGCAGTCATGCGGCAAGAGACTTTGGGGCCAATCCTTCCCGTTTTGACAGTGTGTAATCGAGGTGAAGCCATAAATTTTATAAACAAGTATAAACGACCCTTAGCAACATATGTCTGTTCGACCCTTCCAAGGTGATCGTAAATAAAGGCACCTGCTTGCTGGGGGAGGGACGTGGGCGCTACAGATGGCCAGTGGTGAGGGCCGACGGCTCTGTGCCTTGGGAGCATCTGGTGGGGGACAGGTCACCCCGCCACCCCCAGGTCCTAAGTCAGCTGGACGGCTTTCCGCCATTTATTCAATCGTTTCTCCAGCCTGCCTTTGCCCTTATGCCCCCCGCCCCCCCCGAACTGGTGCCTGCTTCTCACCCTTCCCCAGAGAGGTAGCTTGTAGCAGGGGCGGTAGGGTCCCCTCCCCCGGGGTTTACGATGCCCTCTTCTCCTCCCCGCCCAGTTCATTGTCAATGGCGGCGGTGGCACCACTGTCCCAAGACGGCCCCCCCACAGGAATCTGAAAACTGGGGTTCTTGTCCCAGCTCCACTGCTGCCCACAGGGAGACCTCAGGCAGCTTGAGTCACTGTGGAGAGGTAAGAGAATGCTTGAGGCAGACAGATGCAAGTTCAAGTCTGAGTTTGGCCACGGGCCAAAGTGCTCTCTTCCTGTGCCTCAGTTTCTGTGTCTACATCTGAAACAAAGCTACTGATACCTACCTGAGGGGGCTATGGGGGGGGGGGGAGCGGAGTATGTGCTAATTGCACACGCAGGTTGCTCTCATATTGCTCAACACAGTATTCCTCGTATTGCTCAAGAAGAGCTCAGTAAATGTCAACTGTTTATTAGGATATCATTACAACCATCACGTCACCCCAGCAGATCCTGTGTGATTCTGAGCAAGTGACCTCACCTCTCTGGGCCTCATCGTCCTTACCTCCGAAATGGGGAGAATACGTGCACAGACCTCAGTGGGTTCTGAGAAATAAGACACATCAAGGTACACCTGAGCATGTAGCTGAGTGTTGAGTAAATGATTAGTCGTGGTGTTGAAGGGCGTAGAGCCCTGATTTCAAGCCTAGCTCCATCTCCTAGAGCCACGTGACCTCCAAGCTGGGCTGGTTTTTCACCTGTAATTTGGAGATGACAGTGATGTTAATAGTACCACCTTCATGGGCTTTTGGAAGAATTAAATGAACTATTGCATGTAAGGTGCTTAGCAAGATGCCTGGACACAATCCCTACTCAATTTGTGGTCATTATTAATATTTATTTCTATATTCTCTCTTGGCCTTAGTTTTCCCGTCTGTAAAATGGGAGCAGTGATTTCTGAGATCCCTTCTGGCTCTCATTGCTCTGTCACTGAGTACTTGGGCAGCATGGTGTCCCTGGAGCCAGGGCCCCTGGTCTGACTGGGACCAGCCCCCCTGGAGGCCACCTGTGTACCCAGCCTCAGTAAGTCCAAACCAACTGGGGGTGCTGCTTAGTGGTCTTCTGAGCTTCACCCAGGCCTGCGCTACTTGAAAGTGCTTTGAAAAGAAGACACAACTCAACAATAGCTACATTTTTTTTCTTGAGCAGCTCCCATGTGCCAAACCCGTGGGCTTACTCCCTGAACCCTTGGAAGCTGAATCATGAGCCCCAGTCATAAAAGATAAGACTGAGGCTCAGTGAGGTCAAACAATTTACTCAAGGTGGCTCAGCCAGGAAGCAGCAGGGCTGGAACTTGAATTCAAGTCGTAACAACAACAACTATAAAAACAGTTAACTTGGGGGGCATGGATGGCTCAGGCATTTGAGCGTCTGACTCTTGATTTAGGCTCAGATCGAGATCTCAGGGTCGTGAGATGGAGCCCCATGTTTGCCTCCATGCTCAGCATGGAGTCTGGTTGAGGATTCTCTCTCCCTCTCCCTCTGCCCCTCCCACTCGTGCTCTCTCTCTATCGAATAAGTATATCTTAAAAAAACAAAAAACAGTTAACTTGCCGGGGGCCATGCTAAGTCCTTTAAAAAAAAAAAAGATTACTTATTTTAGAAAAAGAGAGCATGGAGGGGCAGGAGCAGAGGGAGAGAGAGAATCTCAAGCAGTCTCCACACTGAGCACACAGCCTGATGTGGGGCTCCAACTCACGACCCTGAGATCTTGACCTGAGCCAACACCAAGAGTCCGACGCTTAACCAACTGAGCCCCCCAGGCGCACCTGAGTCCTTTTAAGTACTGCCTTATGTTGATCTCTCTTAATGGCCTCTATCTATGGGGTAGATATTATCGTCCTTCCTGTTTCACAGATGAAGAAGCGAGTCTGAGAAAGATGGAGTGACCCGCCCAGAATCTTGAAGCTAGGAAGTTTCAGAGCTGGTCTTGAACCCGAGTCGGCCTGGGCCGAAGCCCAGCTGTGTGTCGGGCTGTTGTTCACTGCCCTCCACGGTCGGGAGCATCAGAGGCCATCCAGCAGCCTCCCTGGCCAGGCCTGAGTGCTGCTTCTCAGGCTGCAAGGCTGGAGCTCTGTGGGGCTGCACGGGTTATTTTAAAGTGGGGATTCTTGGGGCGCCTGGGTGGTTCAGTCGTTCAGTGTCTGCCTTCGGCTTGGGTCATGATCCCGGGGTCCTGGTATAGAGCCCCGCATCGGGCTCCCAGCTCAGCGGGGAGTCTGCTTCTCCCTCTCCCTCTGCTTGTGCTCTCTCTCTCTGTCAAATGAATAAAAATCTTAAAAAAAATAAGAAAGTGGGGATTCTTACTTGGGGCTTCTGTGGACTTGCTCTAATTGTACACATCCTGTGAACATGTGTGTGCGCGTGCATCTTTCTCGGGAGAGTATGCACGTAGCCTCCATCAGAAGCGTCTCAAGTGTCTGATTCTGTGGCGTATGAGAGAACACGAGGGACATCCCCACAGCCTCAGGTGTCCCCAACCTGACTGTCCCCTGCCTCTGCTCGGGCTCAAGCATGGCCTTCCACGAGGGACTCCCAGAGAAGGAGACCGCACGCCCACTTGGGCTGCAAAGGTGAATGGTCTCAGTAAGCAAGACTGGGCCAGCCTGGGTCCAGGATTGCCAGGGAGACTCCCGAGCCCGGGCAAAGGCAGGCAGGGATGAGCCACAAATCCTTCCTGGTACTGATTTATGTAGCATTCACGCGGAATTTGTTATACAAGGGATTTTATTCAATTGAACTTGAAGTGTGTCTGGATTCTTAAAGGTTCAGTAGTGATAACGGACAGAGCGATCATAAAACTGGATGGGCTGTCGGGGGAAGGTGTCGGGGAGGAGGCGAGGGTGACATTGCAGCTGACGGGGGATTCGGAACCGGGACGTTTGTCATTGGGAGGTGTTACAAGTTTGGGCTGAGAAAATTACTCGGTGAGAAATGCACATTAACAATAGCCAGCAGATAGCAGTTAAGGGAAACTAGGTTGAGGAATGAGACAGCAGAATCTATTAGCGTCTGATATTGTTCTCGGGGGGCCCAGGTCGTGATTAAAACGGCTGTCAAGGGGCAGTGGGGGTGGGGGCGGGAGAGTCGCAAGTCCCCATCCCGGGGCCCACACCTTGGTGCTGACGCCCTGAGCCTCGGTTTTCTCCCCTGCTGAGTGGCTGTTTCGGGGTTGCTATGAGGTTTGAACGAGAATGCTGTCCCTGGTGCCCCAAGATCGGGGCCTGGCACGTGGTTTAAACCCCTCCCCGGCGCTGGCTGGCGTGACGATTATGTGTGGCTCTCTCCGCTGCACTACCCAACCACCAGCTACTCTCTGCAGGGCACTAAACGTGTCCCCGGGGGCCGGGCAGCGCTGGGGGGAGGCAGGCGAGCCCGCGTAGGGGAGCGCCCAAACCCCCAGGAATCAAGGCAAATACAATTTTCACGTGGTATTCTAAAAGATCAAAGTCATGCAAAAGACCTATGATCAATGAGGAATCACAGGTTTTTTAATTTTTATTTTTAGGTAATCTCTCTGCCCAACGGGGCTCGAACTTCCGACCGCGATCAAGAGTCGCACGCTCCTCCGACTGGGCCAGCCAGGCGCCCCGAGGTGTGGAAATTTTCAATAAAAGCTGCCCGCTGTTTCTTTCCCGGCCCTGCCCTAGCGTGCAAGGGGGCCGTCCCTTGCGAGCGTTGACAGCGGTGTGCAAACAGATCGGGCACCGCAGGCCTCATCCTTAGTCGTGTGTTTTGACAGTGGAGCTTTGTGTTGACGTTTCCCACTAGGTTCCAGACACGGGAGGCTATTTTGGCGAGTGCAGGCGTGCACGCAGGGGTACGCAGGTTTCCTTTTGCTTCGGGCTCCACTGTGGCTCTGTAAGGCCCTGCAGACGCGCCAGCGCGCCAACCCAGTCCGTTGTCCGGGCCCGCAAAGCAGGCCTGCTGCTTTCCCCAGGCTGGCCACGCATGCGGCCCCTGCAGAGCTGCCAAGTCGGCCCTGCACCTGGGCCTGTGTGAGGGGATGTCTGCCCTCGGGAGGAGGTGGCTGAGGGGGGGCCTGGGGACCCGGAGAGAAAAGAGCGAACGTCAGGCCTGCACCGCCGCAAGGGCAGGTGGGGCCGGGATTTGGCAAGAGGCCAACTGCTTTGTTTCGAAGCCTCACTTGATGCTGTCTTTACTCAAACTGCTCCTCTCGTCCTTTGTAGGGTGTCTGACCACCCCTAGGAGCCGGGGGGGGGGGGGAATGTTGTTCCGCTATCTACGTCCTGCTCCTTGCAGGAAGATCCGGAGTGAGTGGCCTGGGTCGCTGCGAGCTCCCGGGGTGCGCACCTCCCTGGCCCGGCCTGAGTGCTGAGCCCCTCGGTCGTGCTGGTGCCGCGCTCCGCTCCGCTCCCCAGCACTGAGTGCCTGCCGAGGCCCAGACCTGGCGCTAACCACTGGGAGGGCCTTCGCCTTCACCCGTGCGCGCCGGCACCTCGGCCTGCCGGGAACCGAGGGAGCGAGCCAGCAGGATGCCATGCACCTGTTCCTTCGGCAAAACTCGCCGGCACAGCGGTGACAGTGAGAGCCCAAGTCTGCACGTGACCGGTGGTCGCTGCCGTCGCGGAGCCGCTGGCTAGGACAGCCAGGGTGAGCAGGCTCCCCGAGCCCGAGCTGGGGCCTGGCGCTGAGCAGGGGCTCGGTGACGGAGTGAGAGCCGCACAGAGTCCGCCAGGCGTCTGGGCCCTGACAGGTCGCGAGAGCCTGCCCTTCCCGAGTCATTTCCTGCAATTAGCGGCGTGCAGTCTCCACATTCTCGGGCCGCCTCCCTGCCCTGCATAAATATCCCCTTCCCAAGGACACAGCTGGCCCTGGCAGGGTCGTTTGGGGGGGAGCAGGGGTGACAAGAGAAATAAAACACAGCCGTGGCACGGATCTCAGAGGCCGAGACCAGCAGAGAAGGAAGTCCTCCTCTGAGCAGTGCTGTGCTCTCACCAGGGTCTCTGCCCCTTGTCCCTCAGCCCCCCGCCCCCCACCGAGGGAGGAAGGCTCCCTGCCGGGAGGGGGGGGTTCTCTGGACTGCACTCCTGCCACACGCACCTCATGTGTCTGCAGCTGTCCTTCCCCCGACACAGGCGGGGAAGGTGGCTCAGAGGGGCTCGAACTTCCAAACCCTGTGTGCCTTCCCCTTTATGAACGTGACACTTACAGCCCCTGTGGCATGGCTAAATCACAGTTCCATTTCCAGGGGCCTCTGGTACCGCTCCAAATCCTTACACCACCTGAGCCCGCAGCGGAAGGGCTCTCTCAACACACGCACGTGCACGCGCACATGGCTCGAGCTTTTCCCACTTTTATTTTTTTTCTATGTGGCTCTTCCTTGCACAGCAATCACTTTACCTTATTTTCTGCAATACCGAGTTCATTCGTTCCCACTTCCTCCACGACCCGGGAGAGCCTAGGGGAGCAGCCAGGAGTCTCACCCAGCCCCCTTGGCTGAGATCTTCAGGAATCAGGACAGGAAGGACAAACTCTTCACCTCCGAGGGGTCTGCCAATCTCCCCCTTTGCTCCCCCTCTGCATTATTTCCACGTGCCTCAGGCTCGCTCTGACGGGTCATTTTTCTTGTATATTTCTTCCTGATTCCCCTCTCTCATGGCCGTGTATCTGGCTAACGTGAAGAGATAGTCGCTGAGTCTGGAGGGGCAGAGAGAAGTCAACGGGATGATGTGAAATGAGAGATCAATGCTAACAGGGTCCTTCCCATATTAGCCTTCAAGGAGGAAATATAAATCACACGCCCTAGGAGCACTGGGCAGGACAGCGCGTGCTCAGCCAACTTGGGCTTGATGGATGGCCCTCCAGGCCATTTTCTGTAACTCTGGCGTCAGGGCTGGGGCAGTTCCTGCTGCATGAGGCCGCTAACTCCACCCGGCCTCACAGGGCTGATGGCTTTGGGCCCCTCCTGGGCTGCTTTCTGCACCTTCCAGTGGCCGGGATTGAGACACCCAAAACTGAAACACCCAGCCTGCCCTTAGGGTGCCTGCAGTGAGTTCAGGAAGCCGCCCACCTCTCAACTGTCCCCCACTTTTCTTGTTTTCATGCTGAGCACCGACCACCACCCTCCTCCACCTCTCCCGGCCCCAATCCTACTCTCTGAGGTCAGCTCCATGCTGGGTCCTGCTGGAACCTTCCCTGACCCACGCCCCCACTGGGATCCAGCCTCCCTCCTCCTAATGCCTGGCTGTCTCTCTGGGGACAGGGGTTGGGGGCAGCAGAAGACATTCTGCTCTGGGCGTCCCCCATTCCTGGGGGGTGATGACATACTTGCAGCTATTCTGCTCAGCGCCGCCTTCCTTGCTAAGGGAACGAACTGGCTCAGCCCACACAACCCTACGGGACTATAATGTTCCCCAAAGGTCACTACTATGAGAATGAATGGAACCTTCCTCACTCCCTTCGGGCCCACCCACCTCCCAGGAAGAATGGAGCTGGTCAGGTCACATCCCAGTGGGAAGGGTGACCACAGCGAGGGGCCAGGCCCTGGCTGTGAAGTCACTTTCTGGACACCCAGGACAGCTCCCAAGGACCCCTGGGTTCTCAGCCTGCCCCCGGGCCCTGACCTTGCCCACACTGGGACTGCGTGAGCCAAGGCTGCAACAGAATCCAGTGGAGCCTCCCGGGGGCCAGCCCAGCTCACTGGGTCCTGCTCGGGGGCCCTGGGCTCGGATGGCCCTGAGCTGGCTTGGCCCAGCTATCTCTTCTCAGTTCACATGGCCCCCGGGCCTTGCAGGGAGGGCCCGAGAGATCCCTGCCTGAGCTCCCTGGTCCCTCAAACCTGAAAGCGGGCCCCTTGGTACACACTGTCCCTTTGTTTTTATGTTTTGTGCCACCGGTTTTTATAATGGTCTCTCCCAGTGAGACCTTCACCTCCCCAGGGACAGGGACAGTGCCTGCCTTGTTCTCAGTGGCATCCCTGTGCGGGCTCAGCACCGGGCACGTCGCAGACCCTCCATGGGTGTGAAAGGAGTGAAGGAGTGTGTGGGGCCCCTGGCCTTATTGTTACAATGGGCCTAGTTTTTCAGAGGCCCGGGACTCCCCGAATTCCATCTGAGTACCTGTTTAAGAACTTGGCCACATTAGCGTCCGTCTCACCCATCTGGACAAGAGGTAGCACGCTGGAAGGAGAGGAAACCGCATCACATACATTCCGGGGGCCCCAGGGCTGCGTCCCTCACCAGCGCCTCCAGAAGCCCGAAGCAGCTCCTTGCCAGTCTGGCTGCAGACGTTCCAGACAGTGGACTGCTGTCTGCCCTTGCTAGGCCCCTTCTGTGTGTCCCCTCTGCCGCAGAACCCTTGCTGGGAGGTGCTCCCCCCCAAACCGAGGCTCTGGGTTTGTGGCCCCTGCCCAAGGGGCTTTTTCATCCCACAGGCACGTCTCCACCTCCCTGTCCAGTGTACTGAGGACCCATCCTCCGCTCGACTAAGCCCCATCGATGGGCCTTTGGGTTTCTCCAATTTTTTGCTATTATGAGCATCGCCGAGGTGGATGGTTTTGTACAAACGGCTAATTTGTTCTTTTGAGGCCGGAGCTCTGTCACCCAGGATCTCTCTGGCAAACCACTTCATGAGCGATGAAAGCTTTATGATGTGGGGCTGTGGACAGAGCTCAGGGTTGGACTCTGCTCGGGACCAGCCGGCTGCCTGCCCTGGCCAGGATGTCACCTCTCTGAGCTCCAATTTCCTGGCTCCCGTATGCTGGGGGCTGCCACCCCCTCTCTGCCCAGGTCATCATGAGGCATCAACGGAAGAAGGAATAGGAAGTGCGTAGCACAGCCCTGCCAACTGTATCAAAGCGGTGCCTTACTTCCACTTCTCTGTAAAGCCAGTGGCAGCCGGTCTCTGAGTGGTGTAGATGGAGGCTTTGCAGTGAGCTCTTTTTCAGTTTCTCTGAAAAGGCTATCAGGAGCTTTTGGGGGAGGCCCTGACTCCGCGTCGGAGGTGTCGGCACAGCGGCTGGCTGGTCTGTGGAGAGCCTCCCCGCTGAGCCCCCCACAGCCATGGGGGCTCCTCTGGGCCCTTCTCTACCCAGCTGCCAGCAGGGTCCCTTCGTGTCACCCCATCCATGGCTTCCTGTGGCTCTCAGGACAGAGGCACATCTGTCCCCTCTGCGTCTACGAGGCTCTGCCCGGCCTCTGGCCTCATCGGGCCCCACACCCTCTCGCTCTGGACCCAGAGACTTGGCCTCCTTGGTGTCTGTTCTGTGCGGGGCCACCTCTGCCCCTGCTGTCCCCTTGCCCTGCACACTGTCCCACCCCGCCCCCCATGCCTTCAACTCCTGGCTCACACGGCGTGACCCTCCCTGTGCCCACGGCATGTCCCCCACAGCCCCGCCCACGGTGTGGGGTCCTCCCCTCACCTCGGCCCAGCTCCGACCGCCCCGCCTACATCAACCCCCAGGGATGCGGAGCCAGGGCACAGGGGAGGGGGCGTGTCACCGGATAGCCTTTTGACTTTAATGCCTCGTGGGTGGTGGAATTATCAATAACCAGCTAAACCCACCAGGGCCTCCTCCTGGCCTCCTACCCTGTTCACCCGTAAGCTCTTGTTTCTCTAGAAGCTCTGCTCTTGATGTGGTGACATCATCTGTCATTTGTGGGCTCCCGGCTCACTGTCTCCCCGCGGCGACGCAGGGCTCTGAGGACAGAGACCTGGTCTGGCTGGTGGCCGCCCAGGACGGTGAAGGTGGCAGGTGGAGGTCTGTCGATGGCCAGCCGGCCAGCTGGTCGGCACGGAGCCAACCCCCGCCCCGGGCCTACCTGCTGCTCTGAGCAGCCCCCCGCCCTCTCCCTCGGCCCCCTTACCGTCTCTCTGCTCGGCGGCACACGGCCCGACAGACGTGTAGCGCGGAGCTGCCCTTGCCTCCGGACTGGAAGGAGAGAGTGGGTGTTGGCGGGAGCGGGGGGTAGCGGGGTGGCATGGGGGGCGGGGCAGGCGTGCCCACAGCAGACAGATGGGCCAATAGGTACATAGGGCCCCGCACCCCAATGGGCAGTGTTCTGCTTCCAGGGGCCCTGCAGGGGCACACCTGCTGGACACCCCCCTCCAAAGGCAAAGTGGGCAGGGGTGGGGGGGAGACTGGCAAGGCTCTGGAGGGGACTTGGGAAGCTGGGGGACAGCTTCTGTCACTGGCAAAAATTAAAAGAGGGGACTTAGTCAACGCCTGTTTCTGTGAATACGCCTGGCTGGCAGCCAACCCCCGGGTGAGACCCCTCGGTACCCACCGGCAGAATAAAGGCCGTGAGCGGGGGCAGCTGGCTGGCATACTTGTCGATCCACTGCTCCAGCTCCAGGATGGGCCCTGCCTCGAACACGGCATGTCCTGAGGCATGGGGAAGCAGAAAGACATGGCCATGAGACCCACGGCCCGCCAGACCAAGGAAACCGCCCCTATGTCCCTTCTGCCCAGGGGCTCTACAAACCCCTCCCACGGGTTCGGGAGGTCCTTCCTTCTCGGGGCCTAGGGGCCAGGCAGCCGGGGAACCCAGGTGACACCCAGGACGGAGCCCCACCCCCTTGGGCCCTCCAAACACAGAGAGATTACTTAAGTGAGCCTCCCTGGCCGAGGAGCGCGGTGTCGCCAGGGCAGAGCCGACATCCTGCAGCGAGCACTGGATCTGGGAAGCGACAGAAGGTGAGAATGAAGATCCACTCGTGGCCCGCCAAGCAGAGATGACGGGACTCCTCGCGCAGAGGGGCTACCTGACGCCACCAAGGCGTGCAGGGTCTGGCCTGACAGGGACTATCCGGTCCTTTGGCTAGCCGGCACTTGGAGGCCAATGCATTAACAAAGTCGGCCGAACCTTCCGCACACCTGCCTTGGACGCCAGCTCTGTGGAGAGGGGCCCTGGGTCCCTCGGGGATATCTGGGTTACCCCGACGAGGAGCGACAAGCGCCCAGTGATGGCCCAGTGATGATCTTCTCACCTGGTCCTCGTCTCCCTCGGGCCTGGGCCCCGTGAGGTTTCTCCTTTCCTCTAAACTGCCAGCTTTGGTTTTCTGACCTAGAACAGCTCAGCCAAGACACCAAACGTGACAGTGCTTTCTAAACCATAAGGGACAAGTATCTGTGGGAACGGGGTCACCCCTGCGTGACAAACGCCCCACCGGAGCCTCTGCCAATGACACCCGCAAGCACGGCCTCGGACGCTGTGCCTAGCCAGAGTCTACTCGAGCTGCACGGGGGGCTGTGGGGCGGGTGGGGGTCTGCGGCCTCGGTGAAGAGGGCCACTTGACGGCATGCCAGGAGCAGGACACGGGGGAGCCCACCCAGCGGCGGACCGGAACCCGCCTTGGGCTGCCGCTTGGGCGAGTTACTCGAGCGCCTGGTGTCTCTGGGGCTTCCGGTGGGAGGCAGAGCAACAATACCCCGCCCCCGTGGTTGGCCCCCTGCAGCGTCTGCCCCCAGGACTGGAGGGAGCTGGCACCAGTTTGGGAATTGGACCCCAGCTCTGCTGATTCCCGGCCCGGGGAGCCTTGGGCCAGTGGCCCTTTCAGAGTCTCGGTTTGGCCCCATGCAACGTGGATACAGACCTCCAGGCATGGGCTTCTGGGAGGCCAGCAGGGCCCGGGCAGCCCAGCGCTCTCCCAGGTGCCCAGCGAGCAGGGCCCTGGTGAGGCTCCCGGGTGAGAAAGTCAGGGTCCGCACCCTCAGGGGGTCCAGGCCAGTGGGGAGAGGCAGACGGATCAGACCATCTGACACTCTCTGTGGTGCCCGCGGGAAGCCAGGGGGCCAGCCCGGGCCCCGGAGGAGGCGATGCCGCAGCTGTGACCCACAGACAGGAGCCTCAAGCACAGGTCGGCTCGTCAGATCACTGGCGCCCCTCCCCAGCCTTTTCCCTTTGCAAACTCCACTCAGAGATGAGCACAAGATCTAGAAATGACCGCGGTGGGTATGAACAGTCCTGCACCGTGAGGCTACAAGCCATCCTCCAGCGCACAGAAGGTGCCTCGTTCACAGAATGTTCCAGCAGTTGAAGCCTCCCATCCTTCTGCAGCCCCCTCACTGCCCTCTGTCTGCTCCCACGAGCCTAAGTGGACTCCGGCCTGGCCTGGAGGACTGAAGCGGGCAGGGCTGACCCTCCAGGGAGCAGCTCCCAGTCTCAGCTCACCCTGTAGACTGTAACCTTGTCCTGTGCATTCTAGGGGGCGTGGCTGTCTCCACTGTTGAAGTCCTGTCTGTGGGTCAGAGCCTCCAGGCTTCCCAAGGAGCAGAACACGAATACGAACGACCACAAAGTCCCCTGGCTGAGGGCTTACTGAAGCTGGCTTTCCCAGCTTTCTCCACCCTGGGGCTGCTGACGTTCGGGCCCGAGGCATCCTCTGGTGTGGGGGCTGTCCTGTGCACGGTAGGACATTAGCTGCATCCCTGGCCTTTGCCACCTAGATGCCGGTAGCGCCCCGCCTCCACGTGTAACAACCAAAAATAACACTAGACATTGCCGAGCGTCCCCGGGAGGGCCCAGAATCGCCCTGGGTCAAGGCCTCTTCACTTTACACTCCCCCGCAGCCCCCGCCCCGCCCCGGCCCCGGTGCTATCTCATCCCTCGCCTGGGAGGATGACGTGTGTCCCCATTTGGCAGGTGGAGAAACTGAGGCTCCCGGAGAAAGACTGACTAGCCCCAGGTGGCACAAAGAGGAAGAGATGGTCAGATGCCAAATGCAGTGACGGCTGCCTGGCCACAGGGACAAATATCCCAGCGTGGGGGGCAACACTGCTACTCACTTTCCGAAGCTCTTCAGCGAATGGGTGGCCTTTCTCTGCGATGAATTCCAAAGCAAACCTATGAGGAAAAAGAAAAGAATCTGCCTCTAACATAATGTGCCTGGGCCCTGCCTTACAGAAGGCAGCAGGTTCACCCGGTGCAGGTCATTTAGCTAATACAGCTCTTAACACACGCGGTGGTGTTCTTCTTGCTGACGGGAAGAACGTCAGAAACTCTCATTTGGTTATCGGGTGTGTGTTGCTCAAAATGCCTTTTCTTATACTCATTACTGATCCAGCCGATGCTTCTTTCTTCAGTGCCTGCTCTGGCCCGGTCCAGGCAGTTCAGCGTGAGCGCAAGGGACACAAGCTGTGTTCAGCAGGACAGGGAGGTGGGAATCGGGTATCACGTGACCGAATGTGAAGTTGCAAACTGAGGTCAGTGCTCTGGAGGAAAGGGCCAGAGTCCCGAGAACCTTGGCCTTGGCTGGGGTTCAGGGAGGGCTTCCTGGAAGAAGTGGTGCTGGAGGTGGGACTTTGAAGGCTGAGTAGGAGCTCCCTGGGAAGGCAGGTGGGACAAGGAAAGCCAAGCACCCCAGGTGCAGGTCAGGACCCCGGCTCCTGCCTCCCCACAAACTCTGCTACCTCTCTCTGCACCAGGCAGGGTCCTGGCAGGGAAGAGTCAGCGGCGCATTCACAGGGTTCTTAGAGGAAAGGCTGGTGAGGGGACTATGAACAGAGTGTGGGAAGAGTTCTGGAAACGGACAATGGATGGCAAAGATTAGCAAAAGCAGGGGCCTGAAGCGGGGGGGGGGGGGGCACTGCCCGGAGCCATGCAGCCGGCCGGGCGAGAGTCACCGGGGAGCAGGGGCAGAAATGCTCCCACACCTGTCTCCACCAACATTCCGTCTCCTGCTGGTGCCTCCCATTGGCTGGACCCACCCGGAAGCCAGAGGACGAGGGCCTGGGGGGGGGGGGGGGGTGTGTGTGAAAGCGTCACCACATGATGTAGGCTACCTCCTGGGCAGACCAGTGAAGACAAGGGTGGAGAACGGCCTCAAAAGGGCCAATGAAGAACCACCAGTGCACCTTCATAGTCCATCTTACAGTCAGAACTAAAGACACAAACGTGTCATTTGTCATCTAGTGTGGGACAACTCTGCAGGCCGGACACCATCTGCCCTGAGCACAGCAGTATCCCCCTGCCTGGCACAAAGTAGGTGCTCAGGAATATCGGCACTAAGGACGTCCCCATGACGCAGGCCAGGTGTCGGCCCCTCCTCAGTGCTTGCTCCATCAGGCCCCCACCGCCCGTAGATGCCCCTCTAGTGTGGGCTCCCCGGCCCCCTCGGACCGCGGGCTCCATGGAGCATGTGGGCTGGGGTGCCCTGCTGAGCCGTGCCTGGCACATGGAGGTGCTCGCTCACGATCTGACAAAGAATCCACAACTGAGATGTCCCCCGTCTCCTGCCCACACGGACTGGGGGCCGACGGCTTGCTGATTTGCTCATCCTAAACAGCCGATGCCCACCTCATCTTCCTTCCCCTCTGCCCATTTCATCCTGTGCCTCACCTCCTGCCTTCACACACAGACCAAAGCGTCTGCCTTCTCTACTCTGCTGGCAGGCCCTCTGACCCTCTGCACCTGCCATTATCTGGCCCGAGTATCTCACCTCGCCAGGCCTGTCACTGAGAAGCGTACTCGCCTGGAGGGTGGGGGAGCCAGGGACAGAGGGGCAAGGCGGCTTCACATGTGTGGGACGGATGCCAGGCAGGGGCAGGCAGGGGCAGGCAGGGGCAGGCAGGGCAGGCAGGGCAGGCAGAGCAGGGAGGGAAAGGAGCCTGCAGCCCGGGAGCCTTGTGGAACTGACCCCAGGCCCTGCACTGCCAGGCCAAGGCGGGTTCCTCGAGGGTTGGCAGCCCGGGGGACCAGCCAGCACTCTCGAGAGCTATACGTAAACTACACTGACTGATGCCAATTCAAACTCAACCTCAAGGCCAATCCCGTCTGCCTTACCCAATGGCTGAACTTAATTCATCCGTAGTTCCCACGGCTTCAAACACTTGGTCATCTTTAGGTCTCCTTTCTCCAGTGAAGGTGCTAGAAAACCCTGTGAAAAAATGTTTAGCCACTCAAGTTAAGATTTTTTATTTTTTATTTTCCTAAAATGCTCTTTTTTTTTTTTTTCTAAAATGCTCTTTTTAAAAAACTTTCCACCTGAAGTAGAACATATACACAGAAAAGTGCTCAAATCATAAGTGTACAAGCTGGGGGCGCCTGGGGGGGCTCAGTCGGTTAAGTGTCTGACTTCAGCTCAGGTCATGATCTCAGGGTCCTGGGATCGAGCCCCGCGTCAGGCTCCCCGCTCAGCGGGGAGTCTGCTTGAAATTCTCTCTCTCCCTCTGCCCCTCCCCCCGCTTGGGCTCTTTCTCTCTCTCAAATAAATAAAACCTTAGAAAAAAATTAAGTGTACATGTTGATGAATTGCCACCACCTGAATATACCTGTGATCAGCACCCAGATCAAGAACTAGAATCTGATCCACATCCCTGAAGCCCCCACGTACCCCCTTTCAGTGGCTACTCCTAAGGGTAACCACGACCCTCACTTCTTTCCTGATATGCTTTTATTTTAAGCCTCAAAATCATGGACTAACCATCCTGCTAAAGAAATGAGACATGGAGATACATACTATGTATACGTTACAATTATATTTCACGTGAAATCGAAGTCCTCTGTATCTCTGCCTCGGTCACAATTTGCTACCATTCTACCCTAACCACGGGAAAAGAGCAAACCTGCTCCCCACAGCTGGGAGCGCCGGCCTGGCGCTCCCAGGTGGGCTGTGGTGGTCTCCTGCCGGAACTCGAACGAATTCACAGAACACCATCTGGTGGTCCCCACTCGGACTGTGACACATCAAGACCAAAACAAGAGCCTCCATAATCATGTCTGAGCCCAGAACACTGTCCAAACTGTAACAATGACCAAACACCCCCATGTTTGGTGTCCCTCTGGCCAAGGCGAGGGACTGCTGCTCCTTTATCAATTATAGCTTCAGCCTCTCTTTGTGTCTCCCACCTTCCAGCTAAAAGTGATTTAAGAAACCCAACTAGAGAATTAGGCCTGCTTCCTGACAGCCTCCAATCCAGAGCACAAGCCCCACTTCCTGGAACTCTCCCCCAATCACCTAACATAAGCCCAGTCCTATAATGAGTCCTTTCCAGCATCTTCTCACTGAGCGCATGGTATGCCACATAAGGAGCTAACTGACCCAACCTGACTTGACTACATTGTCCTCAGAGGTCTCTGCTGGAGGGCATCAACACTACCTTCTGTTTGTTGTCCCTAGGCACATTATCTTTCCTTTTTTTTTTTTTATTGTGGTAACATATACATAACATAAAACTTACTGTTTTAACCATTTCTAAGAGTACAGTTCGGTGGCATTAAAAACATCCTATGCATGTCGTTTACACTTTTACTGCGTAAGTACAGACCCCCCCCCAAATACACATACACTGGTGATCTGCACAGTTTTAAACTTTAGAAAATGTGTCACACTGACATATTCTTCCACATCTCACTTTTTTCTGTATGTTATATTCTGGTACTGTTTATTTCTTTTAAAGATTTTATTTACTTATTTATTAGAGAGAGAGGGTGCGCGCACCAGCAGGGGGAGCAGCAGAGGAAGAGGGAGAAGGAAACTCCTCGCTCAGCAGGGAGCCCAATACGGGGCTCAATCCCAGGACCCCGAGATCATGACCTGAGCCGAAGGCAGACACTTAACTGACAGAGCCACCCAGGCGTCCCATTCTGGTATTGTTTAAATAATCAAAGTAGTCTATGCTCATTACAAAAAATTATAGGATAGAATAAAAGTATGTACCATAAACAATGAAAACCCTTCTGTTCATTCCCCTCTCTCAAAACTCAATCCTCAATCCCTCTCCCAGGTAATATTCCAAGATGTAAGCTTCCAGAGTATTCTATGCCTATCTGAACACATTTGTACCTACACACATAAACACACTTCTATCCAAGTGGATTTCAATTATTTGGATTGTTCTGCAACTGGCTTTTATCACTTAATATATCTTAGGCATTATCTTACGCATCTGGGGCACGCCGGTGGCTCAGTTGGTTAAGTGTCCGGCTCAGGTCATGATCCCAGGGTCGTGCGACTGAGCCCAGCACTGGGCTCTGTGCTCAGAGCGGAGTCTGCCTGGGATTCTCTCTCCTTCTCCCTCTGCCCCTCCCCCCACTCGTGCGAGCGTTCTCTCTCTCTAATAAGTAAATCTTTTAAAATACGTATATTTTTAAAACACACACACACACACACACACACATATGTCTTAGGCCTCTTTCATTTCACATCACATTTGATGATATTTATTGAGATTTACATAATTTTTAATGACTGAACAATTTGGCAGAACTTTAAGATAGAGCTGACTATCTTTTCTTTTTCTTTTTCTTTTTTTGCATGTTTCACCCACCCCCTACCTTTGTCTCCTGTTTTGGTGTATATCTTGGGGATCTTGGGTGTCTTCAAGGAAGACTGTGACCTGATGAGAAATAGACATCACGACGTGGTGAGTGGGGATGGCTTCCCCAGTGTGACACCTCCCTCAGTGGTCACAGCTTGCTGCTTGTAGCCTGAGGGGCAGCACCAGCATCTGCCGGCATCTCTGCTGACATCATTCCCCTCCTTTTCTTCCTGGTGCAGCCCTTTGTGGGCAAGTTCTGTGTCTTGCCCACATCCCTATCTGCAGAGTAGCTCATGCTCAATAAATATTCACGGAAAGAGTTTACTGATCACTTTCCATAGTCTCTGCCCTGCGCTAACTGATTGCTGGCATTCTCCTGGAATCATTCCTGGAATCTTTCCACAGCCCCAAAGATAGGAACTATCTATGAGCTTCATTTTACTGTTGAGAAAACTGGAGCTCACAGGATGAGACTTGCCTTCCCAGGTCACCCAGGAAGGAAGATACAGGGCTGGGATTCATGCCCAAGACTACCTTACTCCCCCCACCAAACTCTTACTTCCACCCACCCAAACTCTTCTCCTCTCTTCCACCAAGTCCAGGCTTCTCGGAGAGAAAGCACTCTGGGCCACTTCCATTCTATGAAGCTTCAGGTATACTCAGGAATGACGAACTGCTAAAACAGAGTCGAGTTCTGGCATTTTCAAATAGCAACATAACACTTTTAATACAGGCTTCCACACTAAAACATGGCATTAGGAAGTTACTCAAAACGTTCAATTACTGGATCTATGAAATGTATCGATCCATTATCAATTCATGGTACTCTGCAGGTTCTGAGGTCCAGAAATGGGGTGCAAGTTTAAAGGTCTATGATGACAGCCATCTTCAGATCGTGTTGGTCTGTCTCTGCGTCTTAAGGGATAAACTGCCTTGGAGCTACGTCAAAATCTGAACTGAGGCCCCCACCTGACCGTGAGGCCCGGCAAGATGGCCCTCCCGGCCCCCGTGGGACTTGCCCTGCCCCGACCCCTGACAGCTGGGCTTCCTTCGGACTTGGCGCAAAGAAATCTTGGTCTCTGGCTTCCAAGGTGCCCACGTGGCCACGTGACCACTTAGGACCAAGAGTGGACGTCACCCGGCGGTTGCTACGGTGACCTCACAGCGGTGTGACGTCACCATAGCGACGACCCCACAATTTGCGGCAGGTATCCGAGTTACCCTCCCAGCCAGGCACTCACCCGTCCCCGTCTTGCACGCCCTGGGGGCGGTGGCTCTGGAAACGAGGACACAGTAGCCCACCGGCGCCGACACCCCCGCGCAGGCCAAGGCGGCCTCCCAGGCCCCACACAGCCATGCGCCAGGCAGCTCGTCGGGGGCTGACCCCGCCAGGCTCCCGTCCAGCTCCCGGAGTGACTCCACCTACCTCCGGCCGCACCACCGCTCACCCCATTTTCCATTGGTCCGTGGCCCTCGACCCAGGGCGGGACACTCCCAGGGGCTTGCTTCCCATTGGTTCACTGAAGGGGCGGGGAAACCCGTGACAGCTTTGTTGCAACACCTATTGCTCAATGTTCAAGCCAACTGGGAAAGGACGCCCCAGCTCGCGTGTTCTGATTGGCGGAGAGGTAGGACGAGCCCCTCCCCCCGGGAGAGGGGCGCCCGGGGACTAGGTCCGGAACCGCTCCCGCGTCTGCTCCCGGGGCTGGCGGAGGCAGGTGAGAACCGGGGGTCTCGGGGCTGGGTGGCGCAAGGTTTGACGCTGAGACCCAGGACGACCTGGGGCCGGGCTCCCGGCTTCTCTGGCTCAGTGTCCCCGACTCTGGGAGTCCGTCCCGAGCGGTCGGCGAACTCGAATCTGAAGTGGTTTGGAGCTTTGGACAAGCAGTAGGTTTCCCGGTTCCGAGCCTCAGTTTCCCCCGCTAAGAAGCGGGATCACAATAGTACACGGCTTGTGTCTTATATTGAGGTAATGCACGTGAGGCCTTAAATGGGTGGTAAGTCTGCAGAGTTTATAAAAATCTAAGCCGCGCACACCTGTAGACCCAGCAAGTCACTTTCCGGGACTCTGCATTGTAGAGATCCTGGCTTACGTTTGCAAGAAGGCGTTTGACGGCTGTTTTCTACAGCCTGTGATTTATCATCGTGAGGCAATGGAAGCAGCCTAAAAGTCCAGGGAAGCGTTCCTTCTGGTCCATGATTTCATTTAAGTTTCTGCCTTAGACAGTAGCAGTAATAAAAGCTGCAACCAAGAAGCGAACCAGTAACAAATAGCTGTCAGTAATTGAATGAGTGCCGGACACTGCCAAGTGTTCCTCTTGCATTATGTAAGGTAACCTTTCCAAAACCCGTTAAAGTAAGTCCAGTTCTTGTCCCCACATAACATGAGGAAACCGAGGTTCCTAGCCATTTGAGTGAGTTAGTGAAGATGACCTCACTGGAGAGTGGAAGAACTGGAATTTGAACACAGGTCTTTCTCATGCGTTTAGTGCACTGCCTCACTGCACAGTCTTTGCGGTGCATAGCAAGTGCTGAATGGTAGCTGCCTTTTTTGTTAGAATGATGAGTTTGAACTAGGCATTCTCTAGTATCGCTTCATCCTCTCTCTGGCTTTTTCTTTCAGGATTGTCAGGAGCCATGCTGTCAGAAGTCCTGCTGATGTCTGCTCCAGGGAAAGTCATCCTTCACGGAGAGCATGCCGTGGTCCACGGCAAGGTGAAGTCCCCCAGAGCCTTTGAGCATTGGGCACCTCTTCTCCCTGACCCTACTCTTAAGCCAAAAGGAAGCCTGGACGCATAGCCTGGGAGCACGTAGGAGAGGAGATCAGTTTCTCTGCAGCGAGGCAGGGAAGAGACAGGTCTCACACCCACTGAAGGGCTTCCCTGGCCTCACCCAGTAAGAGAGCACAAAGCTGAAATGTAAAGCTGTGCAGGTGGAATGAGACAACCTGGAAGGTGGGCTTCGGTGGAGAAGAAGAGAGGTGGGAGCGCTGAGCCCTGGGGCACCCCAACATTCAGAAGTGGGGAAGATGAGTAGGATCCAGCAAAGAAAACTGAGAGATGCATTATCTCACTTAACTCTTAGGACGGCCCTCTGTGGTTAAACTTTGATTATCCCATTTTGCAGATGTGGCAGCTGAGGCTTAGGGGAGGGTTGGTAGCTTGAGCGGGGTCCCGTGTACCTTAGCAGAACCGGGAATGGACCTAAGTCTGTCTGAACCCACAGCTCATGCTTTTTTCCGCTCCTGTGCTCCTCCACTCCTCGTCATTCTTTATGTTCCTAACTTCATCTTTGCTGACATGATGATTGTGGGGAAGCCTTTCCTTTGTGTGGAGGACCTCTGAAGTTTTGCGCGGGGAGGGCAAACATAAGTAGATATCAGCTCCTAATTGATGGGTAGACGCTGTGTCACTTAGTGGGAGAGCATGCCAAGGTTGATCAGCAGTGTCTGCCATGGGCATGGGTGGGCATGTGCCCTATATGCTAGTATGTGCTCTCTCTCCTCAGTACATTGACATTGACCCCCGGTTTTAAGACCGGAGCCAAACTCTTTGCACCTCCCCCCCCATGCCCAGGCTCATTGTATTTGCCCTTTATTCTACAGGTGGCACTGGCTGCAGCCTTGAACTTGAGAACATTCCTCCAGCTTCAGCCCCACAGCAATGGGAAAGTGTGCCTCAACTTACCAGACATTGGCGTCAAGCGGGCCTGGGATGTGGCCAGGCTTCAGCTGCAGGACACAAGCTTTCTGGGTAAGTGCAGCGGGGAGGAACCAGGTGTGGGCGGAGCCTGGGCCCTGACCAGAGGAGAAAGGGGACAGCTGGGTAGTTATTCTAGGCCGTCTCTGAGAGGGTCAGAGACTAGCTACTCTGGGGGTGTTTTCTCTTGACCCCATAAAATTAGCTTTACTTATTTATTTTTTTAAACTTAAGAGCGTCAAATGATGCACTGGATCTGTGTGGGCTGTGGGGGACTGATCCTCAAGGCCTGTTGTTGGGTGAAAAACAGATGCAAATAACATGTATCTAAGGAAAGACCCAGATTAAGTGTCAGTATGTATGTACATGCAGGGGTGATTAGTGACCTCTGGGAAGGTCCTGAGGTCTGAGAGTGGACAAAGGGAGCCTTCTTTCTGTAAGATTGGTTTGACAAGGAGGAGGTATTGATTGGTGTTGGGTATCATTAAAAATCATTAAAAATAAAAGTAACATGCTTATTAGTTGGAACACAGAGTCAATAGGGAAACACCATCAGTTAAAAAAAAAAAAGGCAGCTGTTACCACTGCCCCCCTGACCACCTCCCGTGACAACTCTCAGCATTTTGGTGTTGCTCCTTCTGGATTATTTTCTGCAGATGGAGAGTTAGATTGAGGGAGATGGGGAGGATATCTTGTTCCTTAACCAAAATCCGATCAGGCCATACAAACTTGTGTGGTTTGTTTGTTTTCTTCAGTGTATCAGGACTCTCTTTCCATGCCAATAAATAAAGACCCCTGCGGTGATTTTCGATAATATTGTGAATGTTGTGTCCCCTCATAAGCAGGCAGGGTTTTTCATCCGTGGGGTCGCTTGCCACCTGTACCAAAGCTGAAGGGGGTTTTCTATCCTCCGTTCATTTGCTGTCTCCTCGCCAGGCTAATGCCTCATTGTTTGGAACAGTGTTTCTCAGCCAGAGTGGGACAAGTGGGAGTCCTCCGGGGGTCTTTTCCCAACTGCTCCCTGCCCTCTGGGACGATCATTCCACAGCAATCCACTCCCGAATTTTGCAGGGCGATGAGGAACAGGCGAAAAGCCCCATTTCTCAACCAGTCATGCCTTGGGGTCCCCCGGGGAGGTTTTCATTATTGTTGTTGTTCTTAACAATACAGACAGATTCCTGGCCCTGCCCCTCTCCTATTAAAGAACAGGGGTCGCGGTGGCAGGGGACCAGGCAGGTGTATTTTGAAAGAAGCTCCCTGGGTGATTCCAGGATCACCGGGCCTCCGCTCCCCGAGGCTGGGGATGTTCCCCTGCCTGTGTGAGCCTGGACAGGTCACTTATCCCTCGGAGCCTCTGTGAGCAGAGTCCTGTGGCCTGGGAGGGTTGCTGTGAGGATCCAGCAGGATCGGAGGTGGGCCAGGGCTGGGACGCAGAGTGTAGTACGTGTGTGAGGGCTTGTGAGTGATTTCTCCACGGAGAAAAAGGAATATGGAACATGAGCCTTTCAGAGACATGTTTTCTAGTAGCCTGCCAGGCTCTCTGTCTTTTTCTTTCAGTATTCTCTGGTTGCTTCCCAATAGTTACAAACACCGGGAACATTTCACTGGGCATCCTTATGTGTGCCAGGCACTGGACTAGTGTGTCGTGGATGTTGGCACTCTTAGAATCCTCCAGCTTGCCCTGGACACAGGTGGTGGTATCCATCCCCATTTTATGGATGAGAAAATTGAGCTTCAGGGGCCAAGTGGCTCAGGTCACAGAGCATTGTCAGTGATGCAGAAAGGATTCAGACCCAGATTTTTCCGAACTCTTCCAAAGTCTGTTTTTTTTTTTAGATTTTTTTGTTTATTTGAGAGAGAGAGCATGAGCAGGGGGAGGGGCAGAGGGAGAAGCAGGCTTCCCACTGAGCAGGGAGCCCAATGTGGGGCTCAATCCTGGGATCATGACCTAAACTGAAGGCAGACCCTTAACCTACTGAGCCAACCAGGCGCCCCTAAACTGTCCAGTGTCTTGATGAGTCATTCCATTTCCCTTGCAGCACTTTGAAATGTCTGTGCTCTCCGTAACACTGTTAACTGGCTTGGCTGCCTTTAGTGTGTCATTATTTCAGGGAATACATAGGGCTTCGTATTTACACCACCCTAACATTTCCCAGCACCCACGTACCAAACTCGATGTTCTGTTCCCTTTACAGTTGGACCCGTGACTCAGGGAGCAATTTGTAAAGCCGGTCGGGCTTGCTGGGCCTCCTCAGGCTCTCCGAGGAAAGTGGCCCAGCCTCCTACCGGGCCTCTTCTGGCTGCCCAAGCAAATGTCAGCACTTCACGTTCTCTGGTTTTGAGTGTCCCATTCTTAAGAGTTGGTTCGGGAGAGGGACGCGTTTGGGGGATAATTGAATACTGCCTTTGGTTTTGGTTTTGTACCGTGGGGGTCAAACCCAGACCTTTGAGTGGTCGAGCTAGCATGCACTTCGTGTGCGTGTGTGCGTTTCAAGACGACCCTTAATTAAGCACGTACTACATGCCGGGAGCTGTGCCGCGGGTCTTAAGCACCTTATTTCAGTTTGTTGGTGCGTATTTACGGTTCCTATCCCTGCCTACCAAAGAGGGAAACTGACGTTCAGAGAGGGTAAGTCACGTGCTCAAGGCCCCAGAGCCAGTGAAGCGTACCGTCGGGACCCACACCCTAGTGTGCATGCCCGCAAAGCCCAAAGGCCCCCGGCAGACGTGGCCCTGGTGCTCGGGCCGCAAACGCACGTCCCTCTGAGATGCTGAGTCTCAACACCCGCTCGGGTTCCTGTGCTCCGTTGTCTATAAACGCGTCTGCGTCCCTCTCACCCGGCCATGTTTGCTTGTTTGCCACAGAGCAAGGTGACGCCACAGCGCCCACTGCAGAGCAAGTGGAGAGGCTGAAGGAGGTGGCGGGCTTCCCCGAGGACAGCGCCAACGCCGAGCACCTGGCTGTGCTGGCCTTCCTCTACTTGTACTTGTCCATTTGCCGGAAGCAGAGGTACGTGCGTGGCCTGGGCCCAAAGCCAGATTCCCCCACATCTGCCACGTGGCTTCTCCCGGGCCATGCCCACAGAGGCCGCCCTGCTCCACGTCCCGCAGCCTCCGGGAAACCGTGACGAGCAAAGTAAAGCCAATGTCCGCCCTACCCCTTAAGATAGGACCTGGGCTGCCTGCCATCGGGGAGGCCGGCTGCCGGGGTGGCGGTGCTGGTGAGGCCATGTCACGTGGTGATGGAGAGTCGGAGCATGTTGGGTCAGACCCCATGGCGGCCGCCCACCAGCTTCCTTGAGGTTCTTACCCTCCCTGGGCCTCAGTGTCCTCATCTGTAAAATGGGGGTAAGTAACAGTACCTACCTCGTAGGCTTCGTGTGAGGGTGAGGGAGTTTATTTATCTAAAGTGCATGACACAGAGCCTGGCACACAGCTTGAGAAATATGAGCCATTAATATTTTCCTAAGGAAACTACTGGAGGGGTGGAAATATTATATATGAAATGAGCCTAGCTCTGTAACTAGCCCACAGTGATTTTCACTGTGATTTTTTTTTTTTTCGGTCCCAGGCCCAAAGGGAAAGCCTCAAGGGGCAGCCAGCCCTTTACTCAGACAGCAAAGGACCAGGCACGGTGCGGAGGGCACATTCACAAATGTCTCAGCTCTTGCTGTCCGCCATGGGATTTTCATCTTAAGTGAGGGGCACGTCCCTTTCTGGGAAGGGGTGCACATTTCAGAACATCCTGATCTGAGCGGGGCGGGCGTGTGTAGTTTGTAAGGCAGTTTCGCATTATAATCTTATACGTGGAAAACAGCAGAGTTACTTAACGGGAAATAAAGAACATGAAGTTTAACAGTCCTTGCTTGGGGGAAATGCAACAGGGGAAGGATCCTGTGAACACACAGTGCACCTAGAGAAGATCTCAGTGGAGAAAGGGGGCCGTCAAGGCGAGCTAGGCATGGCTTCTGGGTGGGTGGCCAGGGGAAGCTTCCCAGTGGAAAGGATGTTTGAGAAGGGTTCTGCAGGATGGGTAGGAATCTGCGTGGGGGAGGAAGAGGCTGTCCCGGGCAGGGATACACACAGAGCAGGGCCACGGGAGAGCCCCGCTGTGCAGGGAACAGGAAGGAATTGAGAGAAGTGGTTGGTGGTTCACGAGGGAACGTCGTGCTGTAAAGGATCCTGGTACCTGTTTCCAAGCTGCCTGGTTCACCATGACTCCCTGCCCATCCCGTAGGGCCGCTTTTGGGGAGGGCAAATGTCCCCGAGTTCAGAAACCTGGGCCTAAGGCTTGGAGTCAGGCCCTGCCAATGTCCAGTCCTGGGCCTTGACCGCTAACTCGATCTCCAGAGAGTCACGCTCTGCACGCCGCTGTGTTTCAGGGCCCTGCCCAGCCTGGACATCATGGTGTGGTCACAGCTGCCCACCGGGGCTGGCCTGGGTTCCAGCGCCGCCTACTGTGTGTGTATGGCCGCCGCTCTCCTGACTGCATGTGAGGAGATCCCAAACCCGCAGAAGGACGGGGTGTCTGCCGGCAGGTAATCGCCGCCCTCGCCCTGGGCGCCACGACCCGAGCGTGGGTCCTCTCCCAGAACTCCCCGCCAGAGGTGTCATGTGGCCTCCGTACAGCGGGGGAGCTGAGGCACGGAGACCAGGGGATGGTAGAATGAGATTTGCACCCGGGCGGTCTGAGCCTGGAACCACTTTAGTTCCCCGACCCCTCACCCCCCCCCTTGCCTCTTTTGGGTTCAAGAGTGCATGGTGTGGCAGAGAGAACCCGAGCCCAGACATAGGGAGCCGTTGGGTCCACTCCTGCTGGCGACTCACTGTGGGACCTCGGCCAAGCCGCTGCACCCCTCGGGGCCTCAGCGTCCTTCTCCGTAACCGGTTGTACCAGGTGGTTGTACAAGAAGTGACTGTGAGTCAGTGAGGCTCGTTGGGACAGTGTCACTGGCAGCCGTGTCTGTCACTGCGGAATGCACCTTGAGAAGCCACCCCAAGCACGGTCTGTCCTGGGCCCCGCCCTGGGAGTGGTGCCAGTCCAAAATCCAGCCTGGCAGCTTCTTGATGAGGCCCGTCCCTGGGCCCTCGGGGCTCACGCGGGCCCTCCCACTGGCGGCCTTGGGTACCCACCATGTGCTGTGTCAGGGGGCGCCACTGGCCTTGTCTGTCTCCCGGGGTAGCCGTCAGGAGAGAAAGCTGCTCAGGCCGTGCTGGGCACCAGCATGGACGTGGCTGTGTGGTTCCTCCCAGAGCGGTGCTCCCATGCCCTCCACACCCGTTGCAGGGGCCCAGGCTGGAACCAGACCCAAAGGCCACGCTGTGCTAGCCTGCGGCTGAGGGCCCCTTTCCTCCTCCAGAACTTGGTTTTGAATTGAGGTTTCCTTCCTCGGCCCCGAAAATGCCGTGCTTTTCTGATAGCCTGGGCCCCGCTGGGTGCCCTGTGAGGGCCAGTGATTTCTCTTCTGAGACACGGAGGTTAAAATACAGTTGAATTCAGATGGAGCCCAAAGGTCCCTTGGATCCTTGTGGCCGCGGCAGATCCGGGGGTGGGGAGGGTGCTCTCCATGGGAAGTGTCTGTCAGCATTCTGCACACTCGTTTTGGATGGTTCCTGTGCGTGGAAAGAAGTGGGAGGCATGGGGCAGAGGCAGCTTTTGTCAGGGGAAGAATCCAGAAGGGAATGAGAGATGCACCTGTAGGTCACACAAGGTGACGGTTTTCAGGAATTTCGGTGAGGTTTGTCTTGGAACTCGCTGCAGGCCATTGAGCCACCCCTTCTTCTCCCTGGGCTCTGTTTCCTCATCTGGAAGCGAGGGGCTGCACTTGATGGGCCTTTGGGGGGCCCTCCAGCCTTGTTGTTTGGTGATCCTGTGATACGATGGTGCTAGTTAGCATGTGCTATTCACCGATTGTAACCTAGATCAGTGAAGGCCCGCTTGTCCCGGGTCCCCCGAATAGACTCGTATGTATGGGCCAGCAGACCAGCTTTGCCGTTCAGAAGGCGAGTGTATGTACGTGTGTGAGTGCTCGAGAGCATGGCGGGGGGGACGCTCTTTCTCACGCAGCTTCCTTACAACCAGCTCTGCCCCCCCCCCCCCCGCAAAGACCCAGTCATTCCTTCCCAGGACCTTTGATGAGAGCAGGCCCAACCCCTGCCCTGGCCCCAGCATTTCCAAATCCTACAGACCTGGAATCCGGTCTCCTGTGAAGAGGAGGTTAGAAATCTGAGCCCCCCAGGGATGAACGGTGTGCAGAATGGGAGGGAGACGCGACTTTGTGGAGAAGTCCAGGTCCCGGACTGGGTCCAGTTGCCCCTCTTCCCCGTCGCTCACTCACTTCGCAGGTCCTGGAAAGGGCCGACGCTCGCCCAGTTCCAGATGCTACGCTGCCTCGGTCTGGAATGCTCCCCTCTCACGTCTTGCCCTGCTGACCCACCTCAGGCCCTTCCCTTTCCAGATGGGGTGCACCCCACCCACCCCACATCGCATCTCCTGGGGGTTGTAGTTAAATAATGATTGCTGCTGGGCATCCCCTTTCCGTGAGATGCCAAGCCTCAAGCAGTCAGGGGCCGTGTCTGGTTCATTCCCTACTGTGCGCTTAGGCACAGGCCCATAGTAGATGCTCAGTAAATGCTGGACAAATGAGGGAGTCTTGTTGGCCCCATAAAGCTCAGTCGTTGGGAGTTTGGGCCCCAGTCAACTGATGTGGTGCTGATGTAGCAGTGAATAGCACTGGGATCTGCTTTACCCACCTGAGCCTCAGGGTCCTCTTCTATACGAGAGGGATAGTAACTACCTTCCCTGTAGGGTTTTTGTGGGGATTACCGGAGACGGCCATTTGAGAAAGGCTTCAGCACAGTGCTTGGCACTTGGTGATGGCGTTGAGCCTCTCAAGCACCATGTGAGTGGTGAGGGCATCACATTCTCATTTGGCCAGCAAAGAAAGAGGCTCAGAGGGGGCGATGGCTTTGCCCAAGGCCCCACAGCAAATGAGCGCTGGACCAGGCTTGGGGTGAATCCAGGAGCCGCGATCCCAGGCGACCTTTTTCCGGAGCCCATACTGTTTCCCAGGCGTTTTACGAAGCACTTTTGTGTTCGTATCTCACACGTCCTCGGTGGGGGAGACACGATTGCCCGTGTTGTGTAGATGAGAAAACAGGGTTGGGGGTGAAGCCGTTGCTCGGGGATGCCCAGAGAACCGGTGGCAGGGCGGCTGGCTGCCTGCTCCACAGCTCTGCCCCAGAGCCCCAGCATTCTCGGGGCCACAGCACCCCGTTTCGTGGGGGCAGGGGGTCCCCAGAAAGGAAACAAAAGCTGAGATAAAGGGCAGGGGAAGGGCTGACTGTATCCTTGTTCGATACTCACGGGCTTGGGGTCTGCTCACTCAAACTGTGCGTGAGCCCCCACCTCTCCCGAGGAAGGCAGCGTGGCCGCGTGCTTAGGGACGATCCAGAGGTGGTCAATGCGCGCTTGACCCACTGAGGGTGTCCAGGGCGCCTACAATCCACGTTCCTAGTGGTTGGGCTTTGGCAAGAGTCGGATGAGGACAATGGGGCTCAGACAGGTTAGGTAACGGGCCCAGAGTCCCTCAGCTCCTAGGACCATGTGCATCCGAAGCCTGGTCTCCTTCCGTGGTGCCGGGCGGGAGGGCTGCAGAGGAAGGGAGGAAGGTACAGCACGTTCTGTAGTGGAGAGGTTCCAGGCTGTTCCTCTGTTTCTGGGTTCGAGGGCCCAAGCCCCTTTGACTTTTTTTGGTCTCCACCAGGCTTAACCTGTGGATCCTTCCCCCTGCTGCCCTCGGCAACCCTGGCCCCCCACTCTCTTCCGAGGCACAGACAAAACTCCTGTGTCTTCTCCAGGTGGACCGTGGAGGATTTGGAATTAATTAACAAGTGGGCCTTCCAGGGGGAGAGAGTGATTCATGGAAACCCCTCCGGAGTGGACAACGCTGTCAGCATCTGGGGTAAGGGCTGCCTCAGGCTTGTTTTCTCTATTTTTAGTATTTTATAAATTCTCAGGACCATTGTAGCTGCTCAGGCTCTGTTTTTGGATGAATGAAATCAGTGGGTTCTGAGGAAAATAGTATTTTCCTTTTCGGGGGTGGGGGGGACGGGAGAAATTTCAGGGCCCTGCCTCACACCTCCCGAATCTAATCTCTGGCGGTATCTGGGGGGCCGGGGTGGGGCCTGGGAAGCTACAGTTTCAGGGAGCCCCCCCACGACGGTCTGTGTGGTAAAGCTGCAGAGCCACACCAGCTGGGCTCCCCTCGGGTGAGGACCCTGGCTTATGGGGCCTGGCCACAGTGCTGGGTCCCCGTTCGCCATGTGGCCTGTGGCGTGAGGCCGGGCAGGCTGGAGGGCGGGCAAGCCTTTGTGCCCCCCAGGACTCTGTGTAACTGGGGCTGGGATGACTAGTGGTTGCGACAGAACTCTCACCCCCACCTCAAGCCCAGCTTCTCAGCCAAGAGGCAAAGATTCGTAGCTTTTCCTACAGCTCTGACCCACTGCTTTTTCTCTTTAGGAGGAGTGCTCCGGTTCCAACAAGGAAAGATCACCTCCCTAAAGAGGTAATTCTGGGGCAGAACAGCAGCTCCGGGCACAGCTGTGGCAACGCATCCAGCTGGGGACGGGGGGGGGGGGCTCTAACCTCGTGGTGAGGGACGTGGGTGGGCCGTGTGTCCCCGGGCTTTCTCTCCCCTCCCCCATGAGGCCTGTTCTCACCTTCTGTGCTGCCTTTCTTAGATCACCGAGAGCTTAGAGGGAGAAGTCATGCATGGCTGTGCCGGTCACCTTCCAGAGAGCGACCGCTCCCCCAGGCCCCTGGCCTCTCAGTCATTTAATCCATGCGCTCGTGTGTTCATTTCGCAAACCAGAACTGATACCTGCCTGTGTTCCTGGGCGACGCTGTACTAGGGTCTCAGGCTATACAACTGAGTCGCAGACACAGTTTTGGCGGGGGTGGGGGGAGAGTGGAGGGCTAGGGGAAGGGCCGGCAGACATGCGCACCAGGGTGCCGCAGGCAAACGTGGGAGTTGCCACCCTGAGGCCCTCAGTGCAGAGCCCGGGCTCGAGCAGGCGGTGACATGTGACAGCTTTTCAGCCCGTTTCACATGTCCCTTGACCCCCTTCCTCTGGAGGGATGGGGACTACAAACGTGCATGTTAGAATAGAACACCCTCTGTTCTCTTCGGACCCAGAGTGGACACGGATGGGGCGCGTGGTAGCAGGTGCTGCTTGGCAGTTCCGTCCTCCATCAAGTCGGGTGGTGGTGTTTGTCCTAGGGCACTTTGCTACCTTGGTGGCCTTTGCACGGGGATGAGGGTGAGGAGGGTCGTCCGCACTGCGGATGGGCAGCAAGTGCTAGCCCGCTGCCCTCGGCCACTGGGCCACTCCTTTAGTGGCTCCCTGACCTGGTGCAACACGGTGCTGTATTCTTGCTTCCACCTGCACCTCTGGGATCTTCCTGCCTCGCCTCTGTTGGTTTCCAAGAGCCAGGCCTGCCTTTCCGAGGCTCAACAGTAGGGTTTCTTTAATTTTGGCACCATCGACATCGTGGCCTGGATAATTGTTTATGGCGGGGGCTGCCCTCTGCAGCGTGCTGAGGAGGTTTAGAAGCATCCCTGAGCTCTACCCGCAAGATGCCAGTAGCACCTCTCCCATGTCCCAGCTGTGACAACTGGAAGTGTCTCCAGACATTGCCTCATGACCCTGGAGGGCAAAACTCGAGATGCTAACCTCCGCTGTGCACCAAGGAGGAAGCAGAGCCATTTAGGAGAGGGACCAGCCCGCCCTATAGCTGCTGCGCACCCGGGGCGCTGGAGCTGGGGGCCCAGGCGGGGCCGGCTCTGCCAGGTAGACTGATGCCCGGTGCAGCGACAGCAGCGGTCAGCGTGGGGCTCCAGATGCCAGAGCTGGGCCTGCCCGCAGGGCTCCCAGTCATCCTCAGACTGGGGCGACTGTCATCCTCAGAACGAAGGCACCCAGAGAGTACTGGAGCTGCTGTGGGTGACAGTGAGGGGTGTCATAATTCGGGCTACAGGTCTGGGGGTGCTTCCTGGGGGCCGTGGCATCTCACTCAGGGTTTCCTGAGAGCTCGTTGTATCTTAAGCACCGAACTGGGCCCTGGGGATAGAAAACCAGCTAAAACGTGGCGTGGGTACGTGCACATTCTACTGGAGGGAAGTCAAGAGATAAGTGATAGAGGGCTTTCCAGGTCGGGGAGGCAGGGGGAGAGGCCCCGAGGCATAGTCGTGGCCAGCTGGTGGTGGTGTGGTGGACAGAGGCTCTGGGGTCCTTAGGCCTTTAATTTGAGCCCAGCTCTGCCCCTCATGAGCAGGGTGCTCTTGACTGAGTCGCTTTTCCTGAGGCAGACTTTCCTGTGTTTATATAATGAGGATCCTGAGCATGAAATCAGAAACCGTATCTGTAGAGTGTTTTGCCCTTTGCCGACCAGATTTAATTCCACAAATACTACTGAGCAGCTACCGTGTGCTGGGTGCTGGGGCCTCAGCAGGGAAGAATAAGGCCTGCCTTCACGGAACTCACATTTCATGGGAGGAGACAGCCGACAAATGGCTCCATAAGAGCATGTCAGGCAGTTGGGTGGATGACCAGGGGAGCCTCTGATGAAATGACATTTGAGCAGGGACCTGAATGAAAACACGAGAGTGAACCCTGGAGCTGTCGAGGACATAGGTGTGTCCCTCCCTGGCAGAGGAAACGCAGGTGCAAAGGCCCTGAGGCCGGGGTGTGCCTGGCAAGCTGAGCGGCAGGTAGGAGGCCAGGATGGCTGAGTGGAGTGAACACCCAGGGAGGGTGGAGAGAAGATAAGACTGAGGGATTGGCCAGGCCTAGCACGGACAGGCGCTCACACAGCAGAGCCTGGGCGGTGGTGTCTGGCTGCCCCAGGAGCCCAGGGTTTTGTGGGGCCGGTGGGTCTGCAGCAAGCCTGTTCACAGCGGACTTGCCTAAGGAAGATGAAGACACAATATTCAGACCCCTCCCACCCCACTGAATGGGAGCACAGAGCAAACCGACCTTCACTGCGGGCCACGGGGCGCCACGGAGAGCAGATGGCGGATTCTCTGAGAAGCCGGGAGGCCAGACTCCGCATTAATCCTGCCGATGGCTTCAAGAGGAACCCTTTCCCCCCAAACCACGCATGGTGCTTCTCCATTAAAAAAAAAAAAAAATGCATTGTTTGCAAAGTGGATCAAGATACGGCCTCCCAGAAGGCTGCCCTTTTGAGGAACAGCTTGTCTTTAAGGGGAAAAGAAAAGCCAAATAGAATGTTCATCTTTTGTAAAGTTTAAAAAAAAAAAAAAAAAAAAACCGGCCTCCAAGGCTGAGAATCGATATTAATTTCATGGGTTTACGGGCGGTGAGATCAAGCAGGTTTCTGGCAGCCTTTTCCAGCCCTATTGGATTTTACAGTCTTGGGCTGTGAAAAGAAAAACGGTAAAGGTATCAAGGGGTCTGCCTGTCTCCAGCTGTCTTGGGCCAGAGCTCATCCAGATGCTCCATCCTCAGTCCCCGCCCCACAGTGCTTGAAAGGCAGCTTGGGGATGACAAGAAACAGTGCCCTGAGTCCCCCAAGACCGCCAGCCATAGCACGATTGGGATTGTGACTTTAGGAGATGTTTGAAAGCTCAGGGGGTTGGCGAGGGCAGCTTACCATGGCTGCCCTCGGCCCTTTGTTCACTTACCTGGGGGAGCCGAGTAGGGACAACTGACTCCCTCCAACCATCTCTGGCTGAGCCAGGGCAGTGGGTCTGAGCGCCATCAAGGCAGGGCAAGGCTGGGCCCCACGTGCTGGGAACCTGACCCCTGCACAAGCCTGCCCTTCCCTGCAGCCCTGGGCTCGCTGTACCAGCCAACCGGGGCATCTTCTCTCCCTGCATGCACCCCTTCTGCGTGATCCGTGCCAGGTCCCATTGCTTTTCTTTCTAAATCTCTAGACCCTTCCACTCCAGCAAGCTGGGGTGGCCCACAGGACAGACCCTCCACCCCTTCTTCCCCCTTCAGCTAGAGTGCCTTTGAACTCCTCTGACCCCGGGGACTTGGCGTGCTCTGCCAGCTCCAGGCTAAGCCAGGCCCCCTCACGTGTGCCCAGCCCATAGTAGGTGCCCCCACTGAAGTCAGGTGGGTGAGTGATGAGCCAAAGGAAAGTGTCCATCTGCCTGGGGGCTGGAGCGGAGACACAGCTGTGACTGGCAGCAGGAGCCCCCTGATGTCCCCTCCCTGGGCCTCCGCTTCCTCCTCCGTGACAGGGTGGGGTGACGTTTGGGATTCCCCCCGGCCCTGACACTGCTCCTCTGTCCTGAGCTCACTGCGGCCCCTCTTCACCCCGCAGGCCACCGGCTCTGAAGATCCTGCTGACCAACACCAAAGTCCCTCACAGCACCAAGGCTCTGGTGGCCAGTGTCAGGAGCAGGCTGCTTAAGGTGCCTCCGGTTCCATTCCTGGGTGGGGTTCTGCTCGGGCCACGGGGAGCCAGGTCTGGGGGCTCGAGCTCGCCCTCTGCCCCATGGGTTAGTGGAGGGCTGGGTTGGATGATGGGGACCGGGGGAGGCAGTTTGGGGCACCCCCCCATCCCCCAGCTGAGAGGCAGGACAGGAAGTGTCAGACATGCTGGCCTGGCCATGAGCATCCCCCACTCATGTCAGGGGGTGCCGGGCAAGGCAGATACCCGGTGGGAAGGAGAGGAGCCGAGTGGGCCGTGGGGACACCTCTCTCTCCTCCCATTGCCCGGCCCTAGGCCTCACGGGCCCTTGCTTCCTCTCCCTGCAGTTCCCGGACATCGTGACGCCCCTGCTGGCCTCCATCAACGCGATTTCGCTGGAGTGCGAGCGGATGCTGGGGGAGATGGCAGCGACCCCGGCCCTGGAGCACTACCTCGTGCTGGAAGTAAGAGCCCGCCTGCAGGCTGCAGGGCCTCACCCACACCGTCGTCAGGCAGGGGCTCCCGATCTGCACTCAGAATCCCCGAGCCAAAGCAGAGAGGCTGGGCCCAGGCCTGAGGTCCCGTGTGTGCAAAGGCCAGCAAGCACGCCTTCTTCTTAAGCCTTTTCCCAGGTCATTCAGAGCCGTGCAGAGAGTACGTGCAAAGCACAGAGCGCAGTGCCCGGCTGTGCTAAGTACCAGGGGCCGGGTTTGGGTTCCTGCCCGTGAGGAGCAGTGGGATGTTGCTGACACTGTCTTCTGTCGGTCCGGGAGCGATTTCTTGCTCGGCCACCTCGTTCCTGCTGTTCTTGCTAACTGCATTTGTTCCTTTGGTAACCTTTTACCTCCGGCATGCTTTGGTTCAGACATTTTTATTTATTTTAGAGAGAGAGAGAGGGAGAGCGGGGGGAGGAGGGGGAGGAGGGGGGACAAGCAGACTCCCTGCTGAGTGTGGAGTCTGTCGTGGGGCTCTATCCCACGACCCTGAGATCATGACCTGAGCCGAAATCAAGAGTCGGACGTTTAACCAACTAAGCCACCCGGGTGCCTTGGTTCGGACATACTCTACCACCATTCTTTCTTTATTGTTCCCCGAGCCGCCACCCTTTGCGTAACTCCCGTGTAGAGGCTGAGACCTCACACCTTGGGTTTGATCCGGTCCCGGTCTGAACCCCAGCTTCACCCCTCCTGGTCTCACCTGAGCGTCCTAAGAATGCAGTAAGGCCCAGTGGGTGATGTGCAGTCACCATGCCTGATGAGCCACCAGCTCAGTAAGCCGGAAGGCACAGGCTCATCCTCAGACATGGTCCGGGTGGCCTGGCAAACATGGATCGACATTAAAGAGCCATGGGGCGCCCCTTGAATCGGGATCAGGCAGGCCCCACGGGCAAGGTGTGTGGCAGCACTTGGCAGGCGGTGCAGAAGGGGCCCCCCGGGAGAGGCCCTGTGGTCTCCATTTCTCCGCAGTCCCCACCACTCCCTAACTGCCACCCCCAGCTGCTGCAGGCTGCCTGTCCCACCGTAGGCATTTGAGTCAGCAGCCCCTGTAGTGAACGGAAGCAGCTCCTAGGCCAAGCCTTTTCACAAGTGACTTCTCCCTTGAGCTCTATAACCACCTGCCTAGGAAGTAGATGTGTTGTGCCCATTTTACAGATCTGAAAACTGAGGCCTAAAGAGCAACTTTCTCCAGGGTTCACTAACCCGTGAGTGGCCGTGCCAGGCGTCAAACTGACTTGCTTGTCTCTTTAGCCAATGGATCTCTAATGCGCACCCACCCGGGGCCAGGGGCAGCGACCCCCCTCCTTTCTGTGCTTTTGCTCCCATTTCCGAAGCTGTCTGCCTCCAGTCCCCTAGCGTTTGCCTTGCTGGCTTCAATTCCTTTCACGCGGAAAGGAGGGAACACAGTCCTCCCGAGTAGGAAATTAATAATGATAGAGTACTGCCTAAAATATACCCCGTTGAGCCCCTGGAGAATGCCACGGAACAGCACGTTGATTATACATCGTGTACGTTTTTGGCTGTGGCAGCCGCTGAAATGTGCAGCTCGGCTCCTGGACGGCTTTGTGCTCAGACCGGCGAGCTGTTCTCCCGTGTCACAACCCGTCATCTGGTCCTTGACAGATTTCGGATCAGAATGTGACAGGTGTCGGAAACCTGCCTTGGCAACGTGACACCTGGCGCTCAGGCGCAGAGAGCAGGCCCCAGAAGTTTTCCCTCACATCCGGCCCCTGGGGCTGGGGAAAGGCACCCGGGGCTGCCACCGGGCCATCATGCCTGTCTGCTTATTTGTCCGAAGGGCTGGCGGGTGTGAGGCGGCCTGCAGGGGAGGGCTGACCCGAGCCCGCCCGACAGCCCGGGGCAGGAGAGCCAGGTGGGCCTCGGCAGACAGCTTGGTGATTGGCAACCCTCCCGGCGCACAGGCGCTCCCCGTTCCCGGGAGCAGAGCCGCGCGCTGCCAAGCCACACGCCACAAGAAGTAGGTGGCCGCTGGAATGCCAAGGGCGCTCTCAGAGACAGGGTAGACGTGAGCTTTGCACCAGGCAGACCCAGCTTCCAGGGCTGGCTCGGTACCTTGCCAGCTCAGCGACCTTAGGCAAGTCACTTTCCTCCCTGAGCCTTAGCATCCCCTGAAATGAAGATGGTGGTGATGTGACCGTAAAAGTATTAATAGCAGCTGACTTTCCCGAAGCCCTCATCTCAGGCCAGGCATCATGCAAAAAACTCACTTCATCCCATCCCCATGGCAACGAGGCAGAACCTCTTACGATGCCAGTTTTACAAGTGGGGAAACTGAGGCATGGGGTGAAGGCCCTCGCGGACCAAGAGGTCACAGAGCTGGGACTCAAACCCAGGCCCCCCCGACTCCAGATCCCACATTCTTAAGCTTGCCCGTGGCAGGGACCGTAGCTGGGTGCTCATTCCTAGAGCCCCAGTGCCTAGCACGGTGCCCGGCATGGTGAAGGTGTTGGGCAAACACTGGTGGAGTAAATGAAATGTTGTAGGGGGCCCCTGGGCTGTGCTAGCTGTCAGTTTTGTTATTTCATCAACCTACGGGCTGTTTGAGCCTCAGAAGAGCTAGAATTTCATGCAGTATCAAAGAAACTGGAACACATTTAGCTCTTTCCCCCACCTGTGACCTTGTTAGGACAATAAACTGGTTCTTATTCTGAAAACATAGGCAGCTGTAGGATGGCATAGTACTTCAGACTTCTGCAAATGATAGAAACCCGTGTCAACCAGGCTTTAACAGAAAGGGAATTTATTGGCTCATAACTGAGAAGACCAGTAAGAACAACGTCAGGCATAGCTGGATCCAGGGGCCGAACCAACTCAGTCTGAAATCTCTCTCCATCTTCCATATAATCTCTGACCATGGGCAGGGCAGATAACTCTGGTGGCTTCTCTCTGAAGTCAACCAGTTTTAGCAGCTCCAGGGCAGAGGCAGAGAAAACCCCGGGAGGGCTGTGGTTGGCCCAGTTTGGGTCACAGGCCCATTCCTGACCAGTCACCATGGCCACAGGCTTCTTTGGCCAGGCATGGGACATGTGTTCGCCACCAGCTCCATCCCAGCCCCATGGGAAGTCCTGCAGGAAGCAGAGGTCCTTTGATCAGTGGAGAGGGACATGGTGCTGGCTTGTCTAAGCCATTTGCCATCCCAAACTGGTGGCCGTCACGTGGATGGGGTGAGCACAGGACCTTGGCTTCAGGCACACCAAGTGGGAACAGATGGAACCTTCTCCTCCAGGAGCTCATCGACATGAACCAGCACCATCTGAATGCCCTTGGCGTGGGCCATGCCTTGCTGGACCAGCTCTGCCAGGTGACCATGGCCCATGGACTGCACAGCAAGCTCACTGGCGCAGGCGGCGGTGGCTGTGGCATCACGCTCCTCAGGCCAGGTACCTGGGGGGTGGGCAGGGTTGCCGGCCAGGGCTCATGCAAACGTTCTACCTGGGCAATTCGCTTGGGAGGAGGAAGACGTCAGAGAACAGCCTCTCCTCTGCTGTGTGGCTTTGGTCGAGTTAATTAACCTCTCTGGGTCTTTGTTGCCGCATCGGTAAAATAAGGATGCTAACGTCTATTTTATAAGATCGTTGTCTAGATTCAAGGAGGAAAGTGCATTTAGAATGCCTGGCCCAGGGCTGGGCTGTGGTATGGGCTCATACTGTGGGCGGCTGTCCTTACCACCTCCTTACCTTCCGAGTCTCCCCCAAGCTCGAGAAATAACCAGGACATTGTCATCACCCCACCGTCACCTCTTGATGTGGCCAAGATGGGGCCTGACCTTGCTACAGAACAAAGGGCTTTCTCTCCCCGTAGTGTTTGGGGAAAGAGCAAGGCTGGGTAATGTGCCCGGGGCCAGCGAGGGGCTCCTGGTGGTGCTCAGTCAACACACCTGCCCTCAGGACCAGGCCCTCAGGGCTCCCGCCTCCGTTGCCTTCCCTTTGCCTCCTCCTTCTGGTCTTTCTCTCCCCTTCTTTACCTTCTCGTCCTTCCTCTTTTTGTCTCACCTTTGCCTGTTGCTTTGCAGTCAGCCCCCAGCGGCCCCAGGCGCTCCCCTCACTCTCAGTGCGCTCCCAGGCGTCAGGAAGGCGGCTTGGCCGACAGCCGACTTTGACTGTTGGCTTCTAGTTCGGGGTCAGTGATGATGATGAGAGAAGGCTCTCTGGGGTGTGTCTGCTGTGCCAGGCGCCTTACCTGCATTCTCCCATGGAAGCCGCACAGTGCCCCTCGAGGGGTAGGTATTATTAGCCCCGTGCCCAGATGAGACTGAGGCTCAGAGAAGGGAAGTCACTTGTCTGAGGTCCCCCGGCTGATCCGTGACAAGGCCAGGCCCATGAGTTTAACTGTTGCTCCACAACCACCCCCCCACCCCCCCTCCCGAGGGTGCAAGGCTTGACATTCCAACAGGAAGACCTGGTTGGCCCCGGGCCTTTTCCAGGATGGACAGTCTCTGCGGGAGCAGACGATTGTTGGGTGACCTGCTGCTTTCCCTCCCCCCCTCCAGATCTGGAGCAGCCGGAGGTAGAGGCCACGAAGCAGGCTCTGACTGACTGCGGGTTTGACTGCTGGGAAACCAGCATCGGGGCCCCCGGCATCTCCGTCCACTCGGCCGCCTCCCTGGACACCCCCGTGCGCCAAGCCCTGGTTGGTCTCTGAGATGAGCCCGCGCCGCTGCAGCCCCACCAAGAAGCGCCTTCCTGGGGTATTCAGTTGGCTTCGGGGCTGGCCAGTGGGCCCCCAGCCCCTGTGCGCCGGCCTTCCCAGCGGCCGCACCCCCCCAGTCCCAGTGGTGCGATATGGAACCTGCAGTGGGCTGGGGACCCCCGAAGACCCGGTCTGTGTCCTGCCTTCTCTTGAGTTGCCCGGGCAGTGGGGCCGTGTGGGGTCCTCTGAGACGCGAGGGGCTTCCTTCCCGTCCTCCCTGAAGCTTCCCCCCCACACACCCATCTGCTTTGGGCCACTGCCACCTTCTCAAACCCTCTGCCCACTTGGCTGGACACTCAGATGCAGTGTGCCTTCTCCCTCCCTCTGCCGCTGCCCTTCCGCCTGTCTCTCCCCGCCCGGCCCCTCCCACCTCCTCCCTGTACGCCCCGTCTGTTTGAACCCCGCAGCACTTCGCGTGCTGTGCTCTTCTCTCCAGCCAGACTGCGGGCCCCCCAGCGGTTGTATGGCGGTGGTCTTTGCCTTCTGCCCTCCTGTCCCAGGGTTGGCCAAAGGCATGGTCGATGTACCCAGTTTCTTCCAGTCTGTACCCACAGGATTTGCAGAAAAGATGGCAGAGGGGAAATAAGCTCTTGAGTAAACCAGGGCTTCCCTTGGAGTCCAGAAAGGATGATGATAGTCTGGTACAGTCTCCAGCCGGCCCCATGCCTGGGTGGGGAAAAAAGATTCAAGTGCTTGTAGCCCAATGCCTGGCACCTACCTGGCCCTATTTGAACTTTATATTACCAGTCAAAGCTCCTTCTGAAATGGCAGAATCCATCAAAAAGCCCCTGTAGCTAGCGCACGGCCACGGGGAGCTCCCGCAGCCCGGGACCTGCCGAGGGGCACACGGGAAGGTGGGGGCTGGGCGGGGAGTTCAGGATGCGGTTAAAACGGCCCTGCGCTTCTGCCCTTGGCCACTAGGGGGCAGCGGGTGCCTTTCCCAGGGTCTTCAGAGGGCGGGTGAGTGGGAGCTGGCCTGAAGAGCAGAATCTGAGCTCTGCACCCCCCACCCCCGCCCGCCATGCCAGGCCTCCCGGGCTGTGCCTGGGCTCCCTGCCAGAGACATGAGGGCAATACGGAGGATGCCTGCCCCAGCATCACTGATGGCGGTTGCCTGCTTCTCTTCAAAACACAAATAATGCATAAAACGATAATGTGAATACTGAGCTCTTACCATGTGCTGGGCACTGTTCTAAGCGCTGTAGATCCATCATCTTTTTTCATCTGCCCGAGGCTTGGAGAACAATTGCTCGTCTCAGCCCCATTGTGTAGATCGGGGAAACTGAAGCTCAGAGAGTTTGAGTAAGTCAGCCAAGGCCACACAGCTAATCCACATCAGAGGCAGGATTCCCAGTCCGACGATGTGACTACAGCACCTGCCCTCAGCTCCTGCGTGCTTCTGCCTGGACACAGGTCAGGGCGATTCGCGCTGCTTTCCACGCTTGGGCTCATTATTCCCTCTGGATTTGGATGTACTTGGTCAGAGTGGGGCCGGGGCCTGGGTATTTTCAAAAGTTGCCCATACCATTTGAACAAGCAGCCGGGACTGAAAGCTGCTTTCTCGGGGATGCTGCTTGACAGCGTTTCCACACTGTAGGAGGGCAGCCTGGGAGCTCCTTGGGGCGCCCAGAGATGCCCATGGCAGGTGTCCAGAGGCTGAGGCCCCCCCCCCCAGAACCTAGCTGCTCCTTGTGACCCTCTTTCTCACTCCCTGGGGGCTGTGTGTATCTTCCAGAGCAGAGGCCAACCCACTGCTTATGCCTCACCCCAGCCATCACAGGGGCCTCAAGGCGCCCACTCCTGGCCACCGATCTCTCACCGATCTCTTCCATTGTGTTTGTAGACAGTTTGCATTTGCAGGGGGCATTCCCCCCTTCCCCTTGTCTGGGGTTCTCCCAGCTGCACGTCAAAACCACCCCAGAATGCCTGCCTCTCCCCCCACCCCCAATATTCTGATTGAACGAATCTCAGCAGGACGCAGTCCTGGGTGGTTTTCAAAAGCTCCCAGGTGATTCCTGTAATGCGGGGCCAAGGCTGAGGACATTGAACGAGATGACCCCAAAGGTCGATTAAGCTCCACCCCGGCTTCCCTTCCCCTCTGCCACCCACTGGCCACGTGACCTCAGGCGAGCCAGTCCCACCTCCTCATCTGGAAGGTGGAAAAACTAGCAGTACCCACCTGAGAGAGGTTTCGAGACGAGGGCGTGAGAAAGTGCACGTAGAACCCGTGGCCCAGTGCCCAGCACAGTAGGTGCTCAGCGTGCTACCTGTCCCGTGCTGGAAGCTAGAGCGCCTCTCGGCGCTCCGAAATTTCGGGGCGGTGCATAGAGCTGGCGAGAAGCCACCAGCCCAGTTTGTCCAAACCGCCTAGATTGTGACCGGGGTGGGGGTGTCACCACCGCTCCAGCCTCCCCCGAGGAACGGGTCACCCAAGCACCTGTGCTTGTTTTGCCAGCCGGAGGCGAACAATTTCCCAAGGCAGCATTTGGACCGCTCCCAGCCTCTGCAGCGTCTTGTGGATTCAATACCCACCGTCACAGCCTCAAGTTGGCAATTTCTGCGGGCTGGCAGAGGTCTCACGTGGCGAGACAGGCGGCAAATATTGCGACTCCCGGCAGACAAGGGTAACTGCTGCGGTTTGCACCCGTGCTGTCTCTGTCGGGGAGGATTTGCTCCCCGTGGCCGGACGGACAGCTGGACGGATGGCTGGCAGCCTGTGGAGGTAGGGAGCTGGCTGCAGGTGCGCGCACGGTCGGGCCCTGCCCTGCCATCCCAGTGTGCTTGGGCCAGTCCCTTTGCCCAGGGCTTAAGCAGCATGCCCTCCAAGATGTTTGCACCCTAATTCCCAGGCCATAGTTACACTTCCCCTAATTGTCACCCAAACGCCCAGAATCCTGCTTAGGACCATACATGTGGCATGTGGCTGTTAACAGCCCTAAATTCTCTCTCTTTTTTAAAGATTGATTTTACTTGTCAGAGGGAGAGCACAAGCAGGGGGAGTAGGAGAGAGAAGCAGGCTTCCCGCGGAGCAGGAAGCCCGATGCGGGGCTCGATCCCAGGACCCTGGGACCATGACCTGAGCCGAAGGCAGACGCTTAACCAACTGAGCCACCCAGGCGTGCATGTATACACACACACACACACACACACCTTTTTTTCTCCATTACACAGCTTGCTCAAGAGACCCTGCCAGTTACCCTGCAGATATGTCCCATGGACTGTGTTCATCGTTCAGTCAATCCCCTTCTGGTGGCTTTGTCAGCTCCTGAATCGCTAACAGCCGACCTCTCAGAGCACCTGCTCCATGCCCAGCGTGGTGCCTAGTGCTCTGTAGGCCTTACCCCCGTGAACTTGCTCGGTTCAGTGAGATAGGTATCGTTCTCCCCGTTCTGTTGATGAGCAAACTGAGGCCCAGAGAAGGGAAGTAACTTGCCCTGGGTCACAAGGCAAGCAAGCGACAGTGGGATTTGAACCCAGGTGTTTGTGACTTCAGAGCCTTGTTCTTGGCGGCTCTTCTGTGCTGTTCTCCAGGAGATGACCAGGGACCTCCCAAAGCCCCCTTTCCAATCCCTGCCTAATCGTTATAGCTGAGATGCCGCTTCCACCCCAGAGGTGCCAGCTCATCTCGCCCCTCCTGCCCCCTTGGCCATCCTTGCTGCCCACACCTTGGCCCCCCATGGTCCTTCCAACGCTGTCTGCTTCTTCCTGTAAACCGAGGAGCGACGGGGCAGGAATTGGGGAGCCACAGCCCAAGGCAGAGAGGAAGACACTTCCTGTCCTCCTGGGCCACCCCCAACGTCCTCTCAGCAGTGGGGAGAAGCGGGGAGGCCCGAATGCTCCATTCTCACCACCCTCGTGGGCGAACAGGGTGGGGAGCAGCCTAACTACCCAGACAGGGGGAGAGACAAGAACTGGACTTTTTTTTCTACAGGCTGCCCTGCCAAACCCCTCCCCAGCTCAGGAGATTAACTGAGTCTGTTCTCATACAATGTTTTAAATCTGATAATGAAAACATACATTTCGAGGCATTTGCATAATGTACTGGATGAGGCCGAGGTACCACCTGAATGCTGATGGGGGCACCTGGGCTGAACCTGGCCTCTAGGGGGCCCCCTGGGTCTCCTCCCTGCCTGGGGACCAGGGGCTGCGCTCCTCCCCACGGGCCCTGGCCCTGAGCTCCCGGATGCTCTCATTCAGCGGATACTAAATGTGCACTTACTACCTGCCAGGAACTGGGCGGAGCTCTGGGGAAGCCAGGTGGCAGGTAGGGCTGCCTCGATGACCGCTAGGCACCCCAGCCTGTGGCTCTGGGTGCCTTCACACCCATGCCCTCCACCTGTGCCCACAGCAAGCCTGTGAGGAAAGTGGGGGGAGCCTCGTTTTACAGAAAACTGAGGCTGCGATTGGGGGCCGTTGGGGGGAGGGGGGCTTCCTGCTCCAAGCCATGAAGTCAGCAAGGGCAGAAGCTATGCCCTGATGGGTCTCTGGATTCCAAATACAGCCCTCTTCCTCTGACGCCCCGGCAATGAGGAAAAAACCCAAAGGCGGCTTGCTGTGGGAACTCAGGCAGGTATCTTACCCTCTCTGGGCCTTGGTTATCCCATCCGTAGAAATAATAGTGCCTTCCTGTGCCAGGATCTCTGTCATCGTGCCCTTGTTTCCTCTTGCCAGCGATCACTATTTTGTGTCTCTGGGGTCAGGCAGGTCTGGCCTTGTCCTGTGGCCGATCACCTGTAGCTGCCGGACTTGGGCGGGCCACATCCCCTCTCTGAGCCCCAGGTTCCTTGCCGGCAGTGTGGAAATGCCGGGCAGCAATGCACGTCACACGGAGCCTGGAGCCTGGAGCCTGGTGCGTGGCGTGGGCTTCCAGTGAGCGGGAGCTGCTGTCATCATCCGAGATGGGGGAAACTGAGGCTCAGAGTAAGGACATGACCGCCCGGAGGCAGCCAAGCTGGGATTGGAACCCAGCAGCCTCTGGCTGCAAAGCCCGGGCTTCCTCCACTTTCCTTGCCAGGCGAGGCCGGGTTTTCCAGTCTCGCCCTGCTTCCAGAGGGACAGGATTGGGACTCGGGGCGAGGAGGCAGGTTTGGCTGAGTGGCCTCACATACTGTGGTCCCCAAGATCAGTGATCATCCTGGGTCTGGGAGTTGGGGATGTGGACTCTGGAGGAAGAGGCTCCCCTCGGACCGAGCACCTGCCTTCTGTCACCAGGACAGTAGCCCCGTCTGCTCTGTGCCCCCCCTTAACTTTCACAGGGTGGGGGCAGCTCCTCACCACAGCCGGGCTGGAGGTGGGGAGCACAGGTAACGGCCCTCTTGTCGGCCCACGTTAGCGCCCCTTGGTGCATGGTGGCTGGCCGTGTCCTTGGTGGGTGTAGACTGGAAGGGCACTTACCCCCAGGTGCCCAGGTCCTGCCACCTGCCTCAGCGAGGCGGGTCCATCGTTTGAGAGGGGATGTCCTTCCATTGAGAGCATTCCCTGATGGAGCTGAAGGACCTACTGTCTGTAGTTGGGCAAACAGAGGTGCAGAAGAACAGTGACCCACCCAGGGTCACACAGTGTGTCTATGGCAGAGCTGGGACCCGAACCCAGGCCTCATGACTGAGGGTGCTGGCTTGAGATGGGGCATTCTAGTGGCCAGGGCTGCGGACGTGTCCTTGCTTGCCCGAGGAGATGCTAGGACCCCAGAGCCAGCTCCCAGGAGGGCTGACAGCGCATGCATAGATATGGGAGTCTTAATGGGCTTTGATGGGGAGCAGAGAGGGGAGGCATGGTGGGCCAGAGTCAGGACCCCCTCTCTCCCCATCTGCCTCATGTGGTTGAGGAACACACTGTCCACAAGTTGGGAGATTTCTGAAATGCTGTGTGACGTTGACAAGTGGCTTCCCCTCTCTGGGCCTTGGTCTCCTCTCATTCCAGAAGATATTCCCAGCCCCATGAAAAGTGCCCTGGAGTTTTCCACATGCCCCTCAGCACCCCTCTGAGGAATCCTACCCGGTGGGAGGCCACACGCCTGCAAACCTCCCGGGCCCAGGCAGGTGACACGGTCAGGTTGGTGGGATCAGCCTGGGTGGGGGTGGAATGTGGCGCCCCCCCACCCCAAGCTCCACCCATTTGTTGCTCTGTGGGTGGTGGACCCACGGTCGTCCAACCTTCCTATCCAGTT